CCTGGCACGAGACGATGTAGACCGAATTGCTCAATCGGCGTGGAAAGCTTGAATGACGAAGCCGAAAAATAGTTGTACAACTATTGTCTCAATCTTTATGCAGAGGTTTAGGTCCGGCATAATTTTGTTTTAGGTGTTTTTAGGTGTTTTTTTATCGGGCTTTCCGTTTTATTCTAGCCAAAAGGAGGCAAATGGATGATTTGGTACTGTCTTGCAGCCACCAAAGATCTGCTTGGAGATTAATACAGTGTCTCCATCCATGCATTGACTTTAGAAAAACTTTAAGTATAGCTGAGATAAAGTTATTATTGTTTCTTCACGCAGTGACAGAGATGGTTGGAAAGGAGAAGAGAACGCTGGTGGCTACAGGGTGCCAGGTCTCCTTTCGCGTTCGGTCTGATCATCATGGCCCTGCTGGCGTACCTGCTGCGGAACTGGAGACACCATCAGCTGGCCATCTCTCTCAGCAATGTTCCCATGCTGCCGCTGTGGTGGTAAGGACTACTGATGTAACAAACTTCAATCTAGACTACACAAACTAGACTTGATTATACTTGGGTACCGTATGACCAGGGGTATGTTTTGGGCTGTTACGAATTACGATAATGCTTGTTACGTACCGCATTGAGACTGAATTCGAAATAGTTGAGAATCCTCGAAAAACGAATGTTAACGTTACTGTCAAAAGCCATGCTTCTACGATATACACGGTATATCCTGTTCATAAACGTCTACTCCGATTGTCCGTGAGCAACCTTTTTGTGCGGGCGTAAACTAACTGGGGTCGATGGTATCCAGGCTACCTTGGCCTTGGGCGATCCCATTCACACATTTGTTGACTTACGTGCACGTTAACGTCTGCCAGGTTTATGATCGAGTCTCCAAGATGGCTGCAGTCCCAGGGTCGTGATGCAGAGGTGGAACACATCATCAGGGAGGCGGCCAGGGTCAACGGAGTGGTGGTTCCCGAGTCAGTCTTCACCGCCAAGAGAGCAGAACCTAAGGTCACAGTTTGTGTTCTCGGCATTGGTAGACAGGGCGGCAAAATGTTTGGCAACTTCTTGAGGCTATGCAAATGTTAAATAAAACATTGTCATGTACAATTAACAAAAAAATTATCATATACAGGACAGAAATCACGAAGCCAAATGTCTACCCACGAGAGGCCTGTTGAATAGGCATAACTAGCGCCAGTTCAGCCCCTGTCACAAAGAGCCGAATATGGCCTACCAAACACTGCTGAACTCCTCCAACCATGGTTAGGAGTAGGTTGACTGGTGTTCGGTCAGGTTGGCTACTGGCAGCTGCCCCAGCCGAATGTTTCAAAATGTTTAAAACATCCGGGCGTGGACGGGAGGTTCGGCCATAGTTGGCTGGTGTTTGGCTGATGTCCCAGCAGTTTTGAACGGGTGTCAAATACAACTCAAATTCGATTCGATATGTATAGAAAGGTAGGCGCGGCCTAGAGTTGGTCAGACTGCTCAAGTACTTTAGCCAAATTTGGTGACCGGGGAAGGGTCTGAATGTGTGACAGGGGCTTTAGCAACTGCATGGGAGTTTATCAATGACAACTAAAGACAGAGGAAGTAGAAGGACGTAACTAACTGTCAGCATTGCATGCCATGTAATGTATACATGGTTGCATAACTTGCACTTGCTCCGTGTATCTGTAGGACACCGGAAAATACTCAGTTCTGGATCTTGTGCGCACGCCTAACATGAGGAGGAGGTCCATCTTTGTCTTCTTCAATTGGTTAGCCTCAATATTGTTGTATAATGCATTTCATGGTTGTATCAATATATATCACAAAGCGTGTGCTGCACGTACATTGAACCGTCTTGTTTCGCTGAACATCGTCATCATATTTCGCTTAACAAGATGTGTAGGTAATAAAAAAATCACAGGGAGACATAGGGCATTCTCTCAGGCCAGACCTGCAGCAAGCATGTGTCACGCAATGGCCTCTAGCTTTTTAAGCCATCAGCCAATCAGATAACCCCCTTTCTGTTACTGGAGGGAAAATTGCTAGCCAATCACGTCGCCGCTCATGGTAAAGGAGTAACGTGATTGGATGGTGAGAGGATTAGACGACTTGTATGACTTGAACACCGGTTTTCTCCCTGATACCACAGGTTGGTGATAACTATGGTGTACTACGGACTGGGACTGAACACGTCATCTTTAGGCGGGAACGACTACATCAACTTTGCCCTAGCGGGCCTGGTGGAGATCCCGGCACTGATACCTTCTATCTACGCTACTAACTACTTCGGAAGGTATCGTCTTTTTAGTGTTTATAAGTACCGATCGATTTAAATGGTGGGTGTGGCAACTTGTAGAGGTGTTTTAAACTCCAAGCCGATAGAGGCATTCTACATTATCTTTGTGTTATATGTTTGAAAGAGCAGCATGGTAACGTTGCTATATATGCTACTTGGTTGACGGCTGATGTTTTCCCTTCTTAGACGGTATCCTCACTCTGCTACACTGGTGCTGGGAGGACTGGCCTGTTTGTTTACCCCGTACCTCGCACCTCCTTATGTCGCAGAACGTAAGTATAGCTATTACCACAATATGGCGCCATACACATTTATCACACATTCAATGAAATGATCGTCTTTAAAAATGAATAATTTTAGCGAACGTTTGGGCTTGCTGTTGTAGCCTGGTTACCAGACGTATTTTAGTTCCCAAGTCTATATAGAGAGGATAGGTTTGGGAGCTAAATTGCGTCTGGTAACCAGGCTATTGCTGTTGATGTAACAACATGCTGTATTGGTTCATTTGTTGTTTGTACAAAATAAATCTCAATCTTTCAATGATATCCAACGTTTATAGATGTAAATGATCCTTAAATGATCTTTCATTGGGTTTCGTTTCTAGGATCATGATAAACATAATTTCGTATGCTGCCCTTTCAGATCTGAACCCGCTGTCCATCACTCTTGCCATGATCGGTAAGTTCGCGGTGACAGCCAGCTTCAACATCATTTACTTCTGGACAGCTGAGATGTACCCGACTGTAGTCAGGTGAGACAGAAGAACAATCAGTCACTAAAGATACTGTCGAAGTTGCTTTTCGTATGACTTTGTTGGGGAAACAGCAAAGGGAGGAGGAGTGGTAGAAAAGGACGAGAATATTATGTAGTGTACGCCCGGTAAGCATATTGCCTGCGTAGAACGAAAGTATCAGAATTTATCATGGAATAGCTTTCATGCCAACCGGTGTTAATAATGTTTTATTTTCCTATCCAGGAACGTTGCTGTCGGGACCTCCTCCATGTGGGCCCGTGTCGGCGGAGTGATTTCCCCCTTCGTCCTCCTGTCCGACACCGCCTGGGGCCCGCTTCCCTACCTCATATTCGGCGTCCTGTCCATCACCGCCGGCGCAGTGGCGCTGCTGCTGCCCGAGACGCTCGGAGTTCCCCTGCCGGACACGCTGGAGGAGGGAGAGAACTTCGGCAGGTATGTGTATCTATTTGAAGATTCTAAGTTGACTATCATATATACTATCATGAAAGTTTATGTGTTGGTAGCTACATGTTTAAAGATAAAACTTTCACTCCAACACAAGAGATTGTTCGCACCTAGCTAGAGCATTTGACCAGTCACTCTTGTCTTAGACTGACCCGGTGAGATTTGTCACGTGTCTTCTTATTCGATCATACAAACTACTAGTACCTAAGTGATGTTTAGTTTTCAGTGCTACGTGATGCAAACAATTTCTTGCGTTTGAGTCAAATGTAATAAAGTAGGCTTTGTCCTCAGGCGTCGCCGAAAATAGAATTAATTTCCTATACACATTTACGTTGGTTACATCTTTATGTCATAATCTATAATGTGAGCCAAAAGGCAGACGATTTATCACGAATGAGAGCTATATCATATTGTGGTCATGTTTGCTCTTGTACACTTTTGTGGTGAAACATGCATTAGGAATGATGCAATAGACAATCAATGGGATGCAAACGGTTTGGTGTGGTTACTACATGTAACGGGATAAAATTATTATGAGTGACTTCTGGTAAAATTGGTTGCCCCTACAGAAAAAGGCCGCACCAGCCCGGAAGAGTCCAAACTCCAGGGGAAGACATAGCGCTGGCAAAGCAAGGTCTGGCAGAGAACAAGGTGTAGATACCTGATACGTATTGTTTAATTAATTGACAACGAATAAAATGTATACGTTCGAAACATGCCAGTAGCTTGTATAACCTTTATCAAATGTAGTGATTTAATTAAACGAGCGTTTATGTCCTCAGATTTTTACTTTTCGCTGAGAAGAATGTTATATACAAGGAATTCTAAACTTTTGCTTCCATGATATTATAGCAATAACCTATGTAGTTATATATGTGTAATCGACATAATTTTGCAAGTAATATTTATATGTAAAGCTGAATCATGATATCAATGAATGGCACATGGCAACAGCATTATGTACTTAATGGATATACAGCGCACGGATTAGCGGTTATCGTTCAAAACCAGTGGTAAGTATATTAGCCGAGTTTGTTACATAAATCTAGCTCTTTATTTCTTCCATTACGCTTGGCAGTAATACATGTTAGCAACATACTGTGACAATAGAAATACATATAAAATACAGCAAAAGACCCCACGTTTGCGAGGTATTGCTATAGTATTGACAACGTTACATTTTACATTTTCGGCACTGTAAATTTAGAAAGGAACGTTATATAAACATTTGAATTTCATTCATGAAATATCGTAAAATATCAGCAACTGCGTAGTATCTTTCGTGCAATAGTTTCACTATATATAGATAGCACCGCAGGTTAGACTGAGAAAAGCAGCGTTACAAATACTATCCAAATACTATCAAATGTGTACTGTCATTGCAATTTCGGCAAAATACTATGCAGTATTATCAAAGATATTTACTTACAAGTAACTTCATACATTTCCTCTTTATATATACATATATTTGTTACTTCATTTATTACATTTTATTGCAAAGTACAGCCCTTAAGACTTATCTATCCATCTTGTGTCTTCTTTGGAGCTGGATGACTATGCTAAACACTCATAAAGGAGAGACTTAATTTCCGACTATGAGAAGAAGTTTGACTTCTCCGTAGGTACTCTGTAGAATGGGACCGGTGCAAAAGCCAAGCCAACCTTTCATGGTGTAGCAGCAATAGCAGATCATACAAGAAAGGTTAAGTGGCATCACTGTTTTTATGATACCTGTAACTAAGTAGTACATAGCTATAGAAAAAAACCTAACCAAAGTCTTTCGTGATTCTACACTTGTACCTTTTACAGCATGTCTGTTTCTTCTGTGTCAAGATCATCCATGACCTCCAGAACAACTGGTTGGGTCTGTGGAATAGAAGTAGAGACATTTTAATTTAGGGTCTCAAGTACTAGTAAGTCCATAGTACGTTGTTGTGCTCTATATGATAAGACTACCATCTGGTCATTCAGAATACATTCATGTCTGTGCTGATTGAAATTGTGGCAGCAATACTTGTTTCCTGATCTGGAATGTGCAACTTGAGAACGTGAAACAAATTGAAATGTGAATCTTGGACTACCGTGATTTGTATGAATATATTTGGAACATTGCCATCGATATTGCAACAAATATTTGTGACAAATTAAAAATTCTGCAAGTCTGTTGAAATATTTCTGTCGGGTGATCTGATGCCGTGAACAGGCCTGGATATATGGTAACCCATGTGATATTGGAATGTATTGTGTAGTACATGTACTTACGTCTGCTGCCGAGCAGCCTTTTCTCAGTTTGTACACCGCCACTGCCACGATGGCCACGGCACACACCGCCGCTGCTACCACCAGCCCGATCATCTTCGCACTCAGCCCGGGTCCTGACGTCACATCTGCTGGGAAAGATATTTCTGTTAATACTTTTGTATAGGCGTGTGTCTATCATTGATTTATTCAACTTTATTACAATAGAAGAGAATTGTTATAATCTGCATAATACACATTGGGAAATTACCTCCGTTTGTGAGATAGACCGACGGACTTCTTTCCTGACCAGGTTCGGACGGGTCAAACCTGTACCCATAACATGTAATGGGCTGCCCTAAGTCCTGGGCCATCACGTTGTGTATGGTGAGGTTACAGCACAGACTGCCTGCCAGTCCACTGCTGCATCGTACCGAGAACTTGGAGGGGTTTTTTACGGCAGTCGTGTTGTTTGGGCCTCTTTCAAATATGAGTTGAGATGATATTCCATTGTAGAAGGCTTGCCAGACAAACGTATGGCCCTGAGTAGGCAGTAGTTTAACATTAACAATGCAAGTTTCCTGTGTAAATGCAATGCAAGTTTCCTGTGTAAAATACAACGTGCAGAATAAAATACAAACTACGTGATGATATAAAGCTGATAGAAGGTTTGCTATATGATGACCATGCGAGTTTTGACGTAACGGATAAGCTTCATAGTAGACAAACATCTATGTACACGATAGTTGGTAACCATTGAGACTTGCATTTCCATTCTTCAATAATTTCTGCTCAAGAAAAATTATCTTAGACAGGTACCTGTATTTTATTTGGAAAGATCTCCAGCGTTGCTTACATTGAGTGAGTAAGATATAGACATATGATATAGACGCTCAGGTAGAAGGCTAAGCTCATGTAGCAGCTTACCTCCATCCCTAATAAACAGCAGTCTACCGTAACGTTATCATGTAACAAGACGGTCTGGTTGGACGGCGGGACTGCATACCGAACAGCTGATGGTCATGTAAGAAGTAAACATACACTACTTTAGACACAAGTATGAAACATAAAGAGACTACCTTTTCTGTCTATCTGCAGTTTGCATGTGCAATATATACACGACAATGTATACACTACACTTTTTATAGCTGGTGTGTTACGCCGAAGGGCGGTTATATACCGGCTGTACAGATACAAAAACTCAAGTTCCTTGACTTTATACCAAACAATTATTGTCTCATCCATGAAACGTATGTTTGATTTTCATAATCTATACCTCAAGATATAAGTGTCACAACTTGATATGAAACTCTCAATCCTACAATGGGCAGAAGTGTTATCATAATGTTAGCCAGGAAAATCCTACCATCAAAGCAGAGGTTAAAGAGGGAAACCTTTACCCTCTTCTGGTTGACATCCGACTCCTTCGATGGGTCGTTCCAAGAAATAGAGGGGCTGTTGATGACACTTTAACACCTAGCTCTTCAGCTCCCTAAGTCCTCCAGTCCTAAGGATTTCAAACTCCCTAAGTCCTTAGGTCCCCGTCCTTTGTCATCACCCCATCTATTTTTTATTTATTTTTCGAACGGGCCGAAAATAAAACCGATACCAATAAAAAAAATGTAGCCATGTTATCCTCCCTGCCACCTGTTCAGCATGCACGACAACACTTATCGACTCGACCAAAACCCTCACCTGAAACTTCGCAGAATCCTCCCGCTATGAGGAAGACGCAAACACACAGAGACATGTACATAAACAACGGCATCTTCTCTACTTCTCCCGTGTGCAGTTTTATGAGACCGCGATTCACTTCCGCGTTGGACTTTATATTACCCATGTGACCTTGCGCAGCGACCTTGTCCTTTGACACGGATGTTGACAGAGTTCTTTACCTGGCGGCTGCCATTATTTACATGGTCTAACCTTTTGATAACGTAGTCTACCATTACCACTACCGTATATCATGTCATGCAGATGCATGCCGTAGAAATGATCATAACATGTTGTCCTGTCAATGTGATATTGTCCTGTTAATGTTTAAAAAATGTGTAGAAAAATGCCATATGATTGCATTTTTGCTGTTTATGTGCCCAGAAGATTTAAACGTTCTACATTCATTGTATAAACAAGACGTATAACGTTATACCACACCAGAATCATTCAAATTCTATCTTCACTGTTGTAATTAACTACTTGGTCTGCCCAATCAGAATTTTGACACAAAGGAGAATAAAAAGTTTAGCAGGTGGCAAATTATTCAGATATCTACAGTAAGGGTAGCCAGGTAAAACAGGTTGGGCAACATTATTTGCCAAGTCAGGTCAAAGGTCATCTGAAAGACTACCGTCATTTCTTGACTAGTCTACATGTACCTTGTTTGCAAAGCAGACAGAAGAGTCTACAGCACCTGAAGCAGTGCTTTCTGACTGTAGAGCTTGAGGTATGTCTTGTTTATTATGTTAACCTCACGTATCACAACAGTTACTTCCCTGCCTATCTTTTCATGTTAACTTAAATCAAAAACATGGTTATGTAGGATAGCCCTCTTGTCTTGTAGTAAACAAAATGCTTCCGTATGTATGAAGTGTAGCGCTATATACAGGTAGTTTCATTAAGCTAAGTGAAATTATACTATATCTACATCGCATTTATGAAGTTACTAGTAGTGTACACTCGATCCAAGTGTCAAAATATTCCCATATCTAGATAGTTATTACGTTTATAATTGACAAACCTAACACTGGCCAGGGGTAACCTGGAATACAAAAATTATTTGAGGATTTGACTTTGACTGACCGATTTCTCGTCAGTGCAAATCATTCAACTTGTTTGTAATTTTACAGAAATTCCGGACCACGATTATAATGACAACTGTCGGGCCGTGTAAAATGATGCTAATCAAGATTACTGTTGGCATCGGTTTTCTTATGTCAGTAATACTGCAATGTTCAGGTGAGTATGTATTGCCTTTTTCCTCACATTGTGGGTATACGTAGTACTACTATGAAAATAGTGTGTGATCAGTTTATGTACAACTACAATGTACGTTTTGTTGGCGAATGACCTATCTATCTAATGTTGTTTGGTAAACGTGTAATCTTATTTGTATATTTGAATGGGAAATATAATACATAACTATTTCTGTTGTCTTCCTCTCTTTCCATACAACACTACATGTAGCTCAGAGCACGAACACAACAACATCAAATTCCGCTGTCATCACAGTAACAAACTCTACGATGGTCAACTCTACACAAAAGAGCACACGTAAGTAATAACATGGTAAACTTAATTGCAATTAAAAAAATACTCGTAGTTGGTATATTTGTCGTCAGATGTTTCCACTACGTATGACCTGAACATACGTCAATGTGTTTTTATATGTTTAATGTTTATTTTTCTCAATACGTCCGATAAATAGTGATATATAATGTCACAGAGTGTTTTTATGTATTATACTTTCAGCCCGCTTCATCACGATCAACACTTCCATCAGTAACTGGGCGAAGGCTGGCATCGCAGTCGGCCTGACGCTTGGCGTGGTGCTGGTTGCCGGGATAGTAGCTGCCAGCTGTCACTGCTGGTTACGAAACCAAAAAGGAAGCGTAAGTTATCATTATGATTATTCTTTTTTGAGACTTATATTTTTGCAATCTTTTTAATCGTCACAGAGACAAATAATATAGATTTAGTTAGATACCAGACTATACCTTTATTTAGCTGGTAAGGGCATGAATATACAACAAATATCTTTCATTCATTCATTGTCTGTGCTGATTGGCACGTTAATTATTCACATATTTCATATACTAGTAACAAATCAATAATTCAAAGCTAAAGACATGTTTGCTAGAAATGTCATGTCTCACTATCAATCAGCTCCAATGTAAATGACACAATATGAATATTGTCCTGACCCCCTCTAGGACTTGATACCAGATAAAGAAGAAGACATAGAAGAAGAGGTTCGTCTTGCTGAATGAAAGTGGCAACATTTCGTCTTCAGGTGCAGCTATAACGCAGCTAAATAAGGCCATGTAGCTATGTATATAAAACGAACAAAGTAGTATTGTTACCATAACATTTTACCCACGTTTTGAATGTATACCTGTCATGGCTGGCTTGCCAATACATTACGTTTCTAAACAACGGTTTCTGCTACTGTGTAAATAGTAGTAGTGTATACTAAACAAGTACTAGTATTAGTAATCAGAATTGAGGTATAGCAATACATTTATCGAGAGATATATTTTTGCACTCCATTAGTGGATAACATTTTGGAGATAACAGGGTTATGCAGTACCTCTTGTGATCACTAGATGTTGCTGCATACACTAGCCTTGAGCATGAGGTACAAATGTTAGAACAAAACAAGAATCTAGGCTTCGATACGCAATATTCATGCATTATGTTTACATGTAGATAATGGTTATAAGACGCGTTTGGTAAATTTCGCAATTTTTTCATGAATAATTTTCTAAATATCTCTAAATAAAAATAAAGTAGACAATGTGTGTCTAAATGTTCCATTATTTTATAACACACATTACGCTATTGATCTTGTAATAATCATTCTTTAAACTATAACGTGTATTTGTAACTCAAAATCTGATAAAAAAACATATGTCCAGGAAACAGAGTATTGGTTGTTATTGCATCAGACTCACTGTCTGACCGCTAGACCGTTGCCCTTTGTCAGGCTACTGAACACCGTCAAAACAGGTTGTTTACTGTAAGCGTAACCATACATGCATACTGTCAAAAGGACCAAATGGAGGTAATTCTGATTAAATGATGCTGTCGTCCTTACCATTATAGGTCCTTACAAAGTACTAATATGGAATGTGCAGGTTGACCTAACGTTAACAATGTTGTGGGTGAATGTCATTGTTACCTGAGCCTAGCCTTTGGCCATTCTGAGCATTACGTCACATGTTTATAGTGTAAGGACGTACCAACTGAAGCAAGTGCAAGTGTAGGCTGACTAAGAGTGGTGTTACTACTGAGCAGTATGGTCATTTCTGAGCTGCTTAGTGCTTAGATAAGGTTAGGACTGAATGATATATATTAGATTATTGTATTAAAGCTATAAAGAGCGGCAATGTCATCCTACAGAAGTCAGAACCCCCTCCGTTTGGAATAGTCTGTGTTTTGGTCCGGGCAGAATAAAAACAAGTCCTATCTCTTTGTTAGTACGTAGATTGTGTCTGCTCTAGCAAAAGTGACTTTCTAACTAATCGTAAAGGTAGCATTTGAAGATTGTCACTTAGTGTTGTGAAGAAGGACGTCCTGGCAGGGCAACTAGGGGTGCTGTCTGGTACTGTAGAGGTCAGTACACACATGGTTTTATGCGTACACTGCGTTGTGCTGTGTCCAAGCCAGATACAGAGCTAGATACAGGACGGTCAATGATGTTTGCCCATCACAGTTCTGCAATATACTTCCCTTTCAGGCTGCGTACTATGAGGTTTTATAGCTTCATATCAAACCACAAAACTAACCACAGACGAAATGTAGTGTATGACAAACCACACCCAGTTTTGTATATGCAACATATGGCTCCTACTGTGTGGCAAAAAATATTTCTACTGATAGCATAATTGGCAATGTTCTTTGCCTCTGGAGATTATAGTATCATACGAATTAAGCTATGTAATAGAGTTGCACAAATACTAGTAGTTGGAGGAATATCTGGCTGCGAAAATGAAAGTGAAATATTAAGTAAACAGGGATGACAAATAGTCCGAAAATGAAAGTTCATTCATGAGCTACCTTTGTTCGTTCACATTTAGATTTAGATACGCATATATTTTCGTTTTCGAAATTGATAGAGTGCAGGTTAACAGTAGCTGTATTTAAGACATCGGATAAGTTTGTATCTCCAATTTTTCAACTTCCTGCAAAAAACTGTATGTTGTTAAACGCGTCCATGTTGAACTGATGTATATTCTCACTGCAAACGTTCATCCAACGGGGAGACCCTTCATTTCACCATATTTCTCAGGGTAGGTGCACCAGCAATCTTACATTTAGTTAACTATCCATTAATGGAAGAAGAGGAGAATGAATCCAGTCCATGACAGTACTTCAGAACCACACGCTGCACGAAGGCCTCGACTCCGCCCATCCAAGACAGCGTCTACTGACCAGATGACGAAGAAGAATAGGAAAGAAGCAGTAATGTTACAACTCAAGTTAGCGAATAAGAGAGTGTGAGTGAGCTGTGGCTTAGAGAACAGTGCTATACATTCATAATATACTGTATGCATCGTTGCTATTTTCACTTGTTGTGTGATATAAAGGTCTATAACTATTATGCTAACTATCATGATGATCAACGACAGACCAACAAATACCAGAGTATAGCACCATGCAAAACTTAAATTACTAACACAAGTGCCAACGTTAGCTGTGCCTTTATGCTATACTCACTTGTAAATAACAATGAACTTCAACGTTTTCACAGTGTTTAGAGCTAGGGCCAGGTTAAGACTGCCAGAGGGTACTGGTCGGCGTGCATGATTCCAAGTAGAGATGAAATTTCATGAAATGAGATTGTGAAACACATACTTACCTACCTGTATGTTGACGCTGCGAATGGCGCATATTATCAGAAATATATTCTTATTTATGAGGGTAATAATATATAAATTTGTCTATCACAGGTATACCATGATGCACAATGACGTTTGTGACATTTCACATGACACTTCTGCTGGCAGTTCTTGCGCCAGGTAAACTTGTACACTCATTATAAGAAATAAAGGAGGAGACTAGACATGCAAATGAGAAACAATACCAAAAGCTTCAGTTACTCTAGAACATATCATGTTACGGTCTATTGCGTGAACAAAACCTGAACATTTTGGAGATTATGGACTGCACGTACATCCAGATTTGCACAGTCTGTTAAACTAAATAATTGGTGACATCAAGTCAATATGCTATTCATTTCGGGTGACAAAACAGGTCCACTGTTCATTGTTCACATACGTTTGATTCACAGCATAGCTAACACTATAACCAGCCCGTCACAAACCTACTAGTTGTTTGTATCCCCGCCAGGTGTTAGGTACACATTACAAGACGTCGACATCGGTTTTGCCAGTTTGGTATGCAAAGGAAAATCTGTAAAGGGTCAAAGTTTATGGAGGGATTTTGGCGTGGATTCACATTTTGCTGATTGATTGTTTTGCAGTATGCTCATACATGTAAACATTGTGTCCATGTGTTTATGAATCTCTCTCTGTGCATGTGTTTGTGTGTATGTGTGCATGTGCAAGTGTGTGCATGCATGCATGAGCAAGTGTGTGTGTGTGTGTGTGCGTGTGTGTGTGTGTGTGTGCGTGTGTGTGTGTGTGTGTGTGTGTGCGTGTGTGTGTGTGCTTGTGTGTGTATGTGGGTGTGCGTGTGTGTGTGTGTGTGCGTGTGTGCGCGCGCGCGCGCGCGTGTGTGTGTGTGTGTCTGTGTGTCTGTGTCTGTGTCTGTGTGTGCATGTATGTGTGCATGTATGTGTGAATAAGTACTGATCCGGTTTTTCTACCTGTAGTGGTTGAGGGGCAACAACAAGCCAGGTACACCGAAGTCCCCAGAGACACCACTGTAGTGGAGGGGGAAAACGTTACCCTAAACTGTAGTGTCGAGAACATCACTAACGACACATCAGTCAAGTGGTTCGGCCCTCCTAATTACCACTTCAGGACAGAGGGAAGAAACTCTGGCCACCCCAGGTACATGGAGATGACTTCATAAACTACTGAATGTTCTACTTCTGTGTGTTGCGGATCATGATCATAATACTGACTGACTGACTACTGATTGAATGATATACTGCAATGGTAGTGCATATAAAGGTGTCCAATGCAATTTCAGTCCCGTAGCGTACTGATATCTGTGAGGAAACAATGCAATAATGTCGCTGACGGAAAACGGTGGCTTGTTTTGTATTATAGGATGATTCTAGCTATTTATGGGTGATATTAAAGTAGTAAAATGAAGGGATGCAGCTTGATGTGACGGCAAACGTTTCAAAATGATACCGAGAATGTGATAAAAAATGTCAATATCAGACAAATTTCCTCTCCCAGAATATTATTGTTTTGCCACCCTAAAATTACACTTTATGCCTTTAATCGCGAATCCGTTTGGTACCGAAACATTATGAGACCATTCCTACTCAAAAAGATTAGCCACTTCTGAGGTTTGATTGAAGCAGATCCCTTCATTGATTTACGATGTTTTCGTGTCGTAAGTCTGTCTCCCTGTCCTCCGACAGGTACACGATTGTCGGGGACCCGTCTGAAGACGAGTTTAACCTTCACATCACCAGTGTCAGCAAGGCTGACGGCGGGCAGTTTCGGTGTTGGGTGAGGGAGGTGCGGGGAGACCCAGCAGAGGCCACCCTTACTGTTAAGGACCGCGTTACAAGCGCTGTCTCAAACGTGCACGCTTTTTCTTCGAAATGTTTGATCATATTGCAGTGTTTCGTGCTGAAATTTCTGTGATGTGAGACTGGAATTCGAAGATGTAGCCTGAAGACGTCAAGGGAGTTGGTTCGCTCTAGAAACTGTTCTATTGCCAGACAAGCTCCTCTTGCATACACTAGTATATTGTGTGCCATTTGGGCCGATTTATACTCCTTCCAGCCGGTATGGAAGATGTGTGTTACCATTGACGGTAATACTATATGTAGTAAGACTTGATGCAATTCATAATATATGCTATTTTAACAGAAATTCAATCTTGTTCAAATTTTGCAAGTCACAGACTGCATTGGTCTTTTACTACTGTTTTTTCTGTGGTTTGAATTAATGTGACGTTTGGAAAAACACATACACACATATACTATAGCTCTACACTGCCATTGGACAATGTAAAAGTATATTCATACTGTATATTGTAAAATGTAGCCTATCAAGTAAAAGAAGTTATAAGAGTTACAAGCTATAAGTAAACTAACTCAACACAAAAGCAAACGTACAACATCAATACTGCACGGTTTATCAAATACATGTAAACATGCCAAATGTTTTTGCCAAACGCCATGTTCGATGTCATGATCTTTTCTGGAACAATCCAGATCGCGTTTGAATGTTTAGAAGCGGTTAATATATAAATAAAGGAAAACCGCTAACCACAACCTATAACAGATGTACTTTTTTTCATGGTCGTTTTCTTTAACTAAACGTCACACTTATGATGATTTCTGATACACAAAATATAAAGAGGTCTGTAGCTACGCACATAATACAATTGTTCCCTTGGCCCATTATTTCAAGACGAGAATGAAACACAATTAGAAATCCACTGATGACATACTAAATTAAGCATACTACAGCTGTACAATATACTGCTTTGTATCTACTAACTCCGAAAGTACATAAACAGATAAAAGTACAGAGACAAAGAACATACAGGTACAGATATAGCTAGAAAGTAGCAATGTGATTACACGTCAAGTACACCGTTGACTTGTTAAGCCCCAACCTCGTGTTTGCCCATGCCGTTCGGTACCTAAGCATAAACAAAATGATTGAGAAATTTACTGTTTTACTATTATCATTTCATCTAGTTTTTTAACCGGTTACTTCTTGATGTGTGACACAGCAATTCTATTTTATCTTGTTAGGACAACACATACAAAATCAATTGAACAAAAGTACAAAAGAACAATGTGAAAACCATGGTTGGTCATATCTTTAGAAACGCCAAGATCAACTTGAAACACTTATGCCACTACAAATACAAACTTGGGTTAATTTTTAGTCCATTCAATTTAAAAAGTAAACATACCTGTACGTCGGGGTTCGCGTCACCGTTTTCCACAGCGATGTATTGCACCTGAAGTACAAGAGATAGTAGGTGAGCATATTGCCATGTAGACAATTAACTGCTTAACTCTCAAAGCATTGTGATGAGAAGTCGTAAGATGACACAAGAACATAAAGAAATTTAGCTATTTAGAATAAAGGCATGAACTTTGGGAGGATAATCATAAAAGCAAATTTGATACAAAATATTAAAAGCATGGCGGACTAAAGACACGTTTTGTTGATGATACATGGTGCTTTTTGTGCCTCATGAGTCTATGGTAAAGTAATTTTAGTTACCGGAGGGCCTTGTGGAGGGGTTCTTAAGCTCCGCCTTTTCCATACTACGTAGATAACAGCACCTGTAACGATTAAAATGGCCACCACAACTAATAGTACTATGATGGCTGTGGCCCAGTCCGGCAGTCCTCCGCCCGAGGTGGATCCCGTCGGTTCTACAGCAAACAATAAAGCAACCATCAACCAGGTGTTAAGAAAAACAGTTATATGTGCCGATAACTTTGATAAAATTGTGAATGCCGTACAAGACTGTACTCAGTACACATACCTGTGGTCTGATTGGGCGGACCTCCAGTGGTGGGCTGAGAAGTCGCGGGTGTGTTGACCGTGACGTCATCATCGGGAACGACCAGCTCTGCTTTGTACAAAGAAAAATCTATCGTTACATTACGTGGTTCTAAAGCTAAACACTTTATACAGGCAACAGTAAATCTTAACATGGCCTTCTAAGGATTATATTTACCTGACCAAGGGCCTTTCTAAAAAAATCGCTATATCAGAACTCTTTCACTAGAAAGGGAAAACATTTACATCTACATCTAGTAACAAAGATGAGTAAGCACCCATCTCATTTTACTGGTAGCATAGACTATGATTAGGATAACCATGAAATAAAGAATTATCATAAACTTTCCAACTATGGCGTTTCCTGGTCAGGACTTATTTTTAGAAATCAAAGAAGTTAAACTGACAGGAAAAGGTTCTATATTCCATGCCTATCTATACCTTGCTCTCAACACAGAAATAGCATGCACTTTAACTACGACGACTACGAAGAAGAAAACAAGCAAAACAAAAGAACACTAAGATTTAATAGGTGAAATAGCTATTTGCATACTCACCAGTCACATTTATTCCTGACCCTATGAGGAATCCCACACTGAGCTTGTACGTTCCAACGTCTCCAGGTTGGAAATCCAGTATGGTCAGGGTCACGACTGTGGTTCCATTGGCCCAGGCATGGGTGACTGAGAAATTCCCTTTGTATGGTTCATATGGGTCAGCCTCTTTAGCTAGCTCATATATTATACTTAATCTAGACCCCGTAAGGGGATTTGGCCCCTGACCTATTACTGTGTCCTGTTCTCCAGTTCCGACAGCAACGCATGTGAGAGAAATGTTGCTTCCCTGAGCCCCTGTCACCGGGGAGACTGGATACTGGGTGAACGTTGGTGAACCGTCTGTAAATGATGAATGATTCAGAATGAAAAATCAATAGTCTATTTATGCACACTCACGGTTTACACTGACAACTTATACACACGTCCACACACACACATAAACACAAACATTAACAATCACAAACATTCGCAATCACAACACACGCATACAATCACACACACTCACACACACACACACACACACACACACACACACACATACACACACACACACTCAACAACACACACACACACACACACACACACACACACGCGCAAAATCACAACGCAAAAAATCACCAAACACAGACACACAGACACAGACACGCACACATACACTTACTTACCAACTTGTCCCTTTGTGGTATCATGTAGCAATATAAAAAATGACTTGTTTTAGAATAGCTAGGTTATGTAGATGCTAGTGTAGTTTTATTTTGGTAACATACCAACACACAACACCAAAACTGTACTCAGGGTTTATTCCAAGTTTTACTAGTATAACCTGCACACCATAATAAGGGTAATGGTCAGAAATGTCATTTAACATCATAACAATAGCACGCATATCTGTCAAAACGTCCCCAATTGATCTCGAGCACGTACGTCGCAGACCTGAGAACATGATACTTCCGATTTCCGGGGGACTTTCCATGGTTCATTCAAGTTTGTCTGTGCCCTTGATTATTAACACATATGATATCGTATGACAGGCAACCAATTGCAAACCAACTGCAAGATAATGATATATGCCACAATACCTGAGAGTGTGATGGTCGATCCTATAGCCAACAGGACAGCTGTAAATGACATGGTGTTCGCTCTCATCAGCTCTGTTATAACTGCAGGTGAGTAGTACACAAGTACTTCCGGTTCATATACCTGTTGGGCGGGTTTGTAGAGGTCATTCAGTGCAGGTCGACCTTGGTAGCACATAACAAGCGTTGTGTACACAGGGGTGTGTAGTGTTAGGCAAACATATGTGATAATGACTAGTACTGTAAAGGGTTCTTCAGTGCTTCGTCTTAACTGATCTTCACGATGTGTAGTGAAGAGGATATTGCAGTATCTGAAGGGTAACGGGATGCCAGTTCTCATTCAAATATCCTAATAATTTTATGTGATTTATTACGAGGTCTTTTGCCCGTTTGTTTTTGCAAGGGCAGTCTATATTGGCCTCCTGACACCACTGGCCGCACCACAGAATCTGCTTGGAGATTACAATTTATGCTCATGGATAATTTTGGAGCTCTAGCTATAGAAATAAAATAAAGACAAGATATACATATTCCATTATTATGAGTGTTTACATATTTTCAACAAATATTAAGAAATTGCTCTTGGCAGTAAATAAACTGTCTTTGAACTACACGATGTAGTTTGTAATTAAAAAATTGAGCTTAACAAATGTTTATAGAAAACAGAAGGACCGAGTTTACTACCGACCCTTTGTTTGTTATTGCATCAAACGGGCTCTCGTTGAGCCGCTGCCTTTGACAGGTAATTTAACATCTACAAAACACAAGTTGTTTACTGTTACATGGCTTATCGAAAACATCTCATGGGTTTAAATGTTGGTGAAATCATCATGGAGACCATACAAACGCTTTATTGATAATAATGTTAGAATATTCGGAACGTGCAGGTGGATCTACACAACGTGGCGTAGTCGTTGTATCAAGATTTACGTGCACTATGTTTTGGCGAATAGAATAATACCCACTGATTTGACTGATATTCTGTCTTCAGACCTAACTGTCGGTTAGAATTATCTCCGTTTCAAATTAAGACCAGTGCACTTACTTCAGTAGACTTGAAAACCCCTGTCATTATAACATGTCCTGACTTGCCCAAACGATAATCTACATAGCCATGATTTCGTCCACACCTGGCAGAAAGATATCTGAAGTTAGCAGCGCCCATTATACTTACAACTTACATGTATGGATACTGTAGTCGTCATGTGAACACAATGAAGTGCATGCTACCGCGGTAATAGTGATTCAATTTTGATTTATTGCCCTCACACCCCCTGTGCAATCTGTGCGATAGAATGTACATACCGATGGCCGGTGTACAGGCCCCACCTGTTTTTTTAACCTTGCGCTCTAGACCAATGTTGATCTCTCTTAAGGGCCGACCGAGGTATTTTTAACCCTTCATCTTGTCTATTGTTTCCGTGTGTAGTTTTCTTGATTCAATAAAGATGATGTCAAACACGCGTATGACATACTGTGTTGACTACACCTACGTACATTTTTGTACATGTACGTCACGGTTCAACGCACGGTCACAGTACTGCCATGTATTGGTTCCTGTTTCTTGGGGATGCCCTGGTGACGTCTAGAATGTTGTTTCCGTCCAAAATATATAGTAAAACAAGACAAACAATCTGATTTTAAACAGGATTTCTTACTGTCTTTGGAAGAAAATGTTTGGCAAATTGTGACATGTACATAGCTTTGAGGTCGCCATTTTGAATAGACCGAGTACAGAGCACGTGGCTGTATGTTACCGTTTCAACCAGAAATAGCAAGGAAAGGCGTAACGACTTTCACATTAGAATCACGATAGAATTTGATGAAAAGTTCTGAAACGTACCTGTTCCAAGGAGTAATCGTCTCAGACTCAGTTGCCCTGGTCCTGGTAAAAAGACCCGGAAATACCAATCACGCAGATTCCACCGCTTTTCTAACCTATGACCTCCTTGCTACACCTGTATCATGGAGCCGGTCGGGGAGGGCGTGGGGGCAGGGGCTATCACGTAGATTTACTCGATTTGTCCGTCCGTAGAATACGTATCTTGAGGATCTTTTGTCCTCTGAACATGAGGAGAGAAAACTGGAAAAAAAATGTTGGTTGAGGGTGGCACAAGTACTGCAAACTGCGCGTGTTCGTAATTTAAACACGCCCATTCAATTAGCATTACGTCATTCTTGACTTTGGGGGACCCCGCGGCCGTGTCTGAATAACCACGTCTACCGCGGTCTATTGACACAGTGGCATTGCACTCTAAATAAAAACGTACAACGCATTCCGGTTAAGAAAATTCATAGTAAAGGTAACCACTGTAACTTGATTATATCGAGAGTTCTACCTTATTTTAGCTTGATAGTTAAATAACTGCAAGTGTAACTTAATATCGTAAAAATTCTGGTCGCTCGTCAAGTGCTCAATCATTCCCCCAGAATAGGTTTCGTCTTAACGTATTTGTTACCTCCAACTGTGTCAGGGCGGCAAACCCGCAAGTCACACAAGATAGACAGTCCGCACTATCGTAAGTCAGGTTATAAGAACTCTCCTATTCCATATTTGTGTAACCTGCAGCTGTTCAACAAATACGGACAAAATAATTCCCCTCAGTATTGACTACGCAGTCGCTGTGTACATTTGTATACATAACCTCACTGACTATGCTACTTGGAACGTACACAATTTTTATTTGCCATTTGTTAGCATTGTATGGATTTCTAGTAGTGCGTGTTATGAGATATCGTTTTGTATCTTTTAATGCGCAATTCAAACATATAAGGTGCATTTTTTAAACAATCTGTTAATTGTCTGCAAAACCAGGTGGGTCACTACGAAAATGCAATAAATACACCCGGAGTCTTGAGTCTATACTATACTATACGGCGCCACACGTTTTATGCCATCTTTTCTCTTCAGTACCTACATGTATTCTCTTCGTGACATACCAAATCATTCCACTATAGATCTGTTGGGTTACATTTAATTTACATTCTCAACTGATCAGCAAGCCCATGACGTGAAGGACCTTGGATTAAGAACTTGAATTATATGGAAGGGGGTGTTACGATGGCTAGCCGCTAATACCATGCATCCCAATTTAGTCAGCGGAATGGCTTTTGCCACTGGAGGGATGGTCCTCTACTCATCCATTAGACAGAGAAGTGTAGTGGCTTCTTTGCGTGCTTGAAGCGTGTCTCTCCTAACACATGGTCTTTTATTTTATGTCTCATTTAAAAGGATGTCCACAAGTAAAGCCCATGTTTACCTCAGTCAAGTCAGTCATTTTGAAAGTGCAATCGTAATGTATGAGCATATGTGAAAAAAACACGCAAAACTGCCTAGGCATTCGCAAAGTCACCATGGACACAAAACGTCACTGCCTTGGTACGATAAATATTGTTGTTCTGTTCCTATGATCATTTGCCTTGTAGGTAAATGTTTTTCCTTTTTTCTAGAACTAGTAGTGCCTTAATGTTTTTCGTTACGTTAAGATCCGTGCGTGAGACCAACATTTACATGTACATGGATAGCTAGCAAAAGAAAAGAAAGCGTAATTCTACCCACCACAACGATCTCATCGCCCGTTCATGCGCATTGATCTGGCGTACATTTCAATTGTAAGGTATTAAAGAGACCAATGGCGATTGGACCTCAGGGTCAGGTGTTCAAACAGTAAAGAGGGTGAAAGTCATTTCGCGTGGTAAGAAGCCAAAAACATCTTAGAAAGTGAAAGCACGGTGTGCAAGGAGCTAACACGAAGCTACAGCTCTGGCAATAAAAACCAGCCATGGGAGCGGGGTGCAGCAGTGTTGCGGTTGGGACAACACCTGTGTCTGTTGGAGGATGTCCCATTTGTGACAACAGTCCATCTAAAGATGCAACATGGGCGGAACAGTTTCATATGACAGAGGAGAGGCTACAGAACTTGGCCAAATGCAACGAAAAGGTAAAATAAAATGTAAAGTATCTCCTTATAAGCACCTTAGGTAAGACATCGTATACGCCAAAACACTAAAAATGGCAAGGCTTGGGCTTTTCAATGTTCACTATGTAACAAGACGCGAAGGCCATTTCTTGGCCGCGGGGAATACGCATACGCCTGGAACTGTATGGGTAGTGGGTTCTGCTGCGTGCTTGAAGTTTGTCTCTCCTCAAACAAGGGACTCCTATTTGATGTCCCATTTAAGAGCATGTCCATAACTACATTTTGTGAAGCTCATTTTCACCTCAGGAAACTTTAAAAGTGCGTCCGCATATGCGAAAAATACTTAAGACTTTTTAGGCGTTTCCAACAAAAACTTGAGCACAACAACAACAAAAAAGTCACTTAGGGTAAAAAGAATGTACCTTGGCTGGATAAATATTGGTATTGCGTTCCTTCTGATTATTCCCTTATTCGCAGCAATGTTTTTCGTTACGTTAAGATCAGACAGGCATTTACCTGGGTAGAGAACAAAAGAAATGAAAGTGTAATTCGAACCATTAAGGCCATTTAAACGCCCGTTCACGTTGCTGCGCAGCAGGTTAGAAAGGGCTAAATCCACAAAAGACGTCTTTGTGAGCCTTTGTTTGCTGCAGTCTTTAAATAGCCGTCTGTATTTGGTAGATGTGATTAAGTTGCCGAATGTTCATTATGGTGACTCATGATATACACTCAATCTCAAGTCTAGATATTATATAGATCTACATATGGCCGGTCAACATACTTGTGTTGTAGTTATACTGGTTTGGTCTTTAACCAGAATTTCAACAACTGTATTTGCCAGAAATGCCCAGAATACTACATGGCTTATGATTTATTTAGTCTTGATGACAAAGTCAGCATTGACAAAGATAAGGTAATCGTTCTTGTGCTACTGTTGAGATTGAAATCCGTGCATCAATGTTCTCTTTAAAACAGAATAAACCAGACTATATATGTGAAGATAATGTTGTGTATAGGGGTTTATCAAATGATCTAGTTCGTACTAATCCAAGTCGATTTAATTTGTTCTTTTGTTGATTTTTTCCTTTTCGTGTTCCTTCAATGAACTTTATTTACACAATGTATATGCTTTATTTACATATATCACATAATTATAGGACACTTTGATTTTCTTCTAGCATTTGCGTGTGATATGTTACTTTCTATACATAGTATATTTCTTAAATCTCAGTAGAATATTGAAAAGCAATCTATTTTGTATTTTTGGTATTGTTTTTGCTATCAGACCGACGACTTAAGAACATTCCCAGTGTTGGTACACTTCCTAACGGCCCAGACCACCAGCGATGTAGAGCGGTTCTGGGTTCTGTTCTACTGGGTACAGCGGGAAAGCCGCCGTCAGCGTGCTCAGCCACGCAGTCCGCTGTCTGAGGATTCTCCGCTAGGGTTTCTCGGGACCATTAAGACCGGGGGGAGGTTGACCTACGCCGACTTGTACGAGAAGTTATGCAGGTAGAGAAATTAAAATTCCATTGCAGTTTACTAAACATAAACTTCAGTCAGAATCAAGTTGAAGTTAAAATCCTTTCCAGTTCTTTTTGTATACCCCTTAGGGACAGCATATACATATGTTTTTATAAGTCAGTTCTCGCTCAGCATTAGCCAGACTGCCTAGACAGAACTCTGTTAGAGTTTTGCACTGAGGAAAGAATCAACTTCACATTTAAATTTCTGTCTGACCGTGATCATAGCAATTGTTCAAAAGTTCAACATTTGACGGTAGAAATTAGTTCTCTTATGATTGACGGTGTGGGAGACAGGGCACACCAGAGTGTTCTTACTAACTTGTGCTGGGATTTTGACTGGTGTTATATGATATGTCGGAAGATATATAGCCCGCTCTTAGTGTTGTGCGTTATATAGTGTCCAGAAGCGTAAAAAAGACAGACTATCCAAAACAGACTAGTAAACAATAACGTTTTGTACCAGTATGTACTACATGCCTCTATTCCTGTAAACTACAGCATCGCCGGTCTGAAGTGTGAAACCGTGTTTGGGTTTTGCAAGTCAATTGGCGGCCGCATGGACAGACCCTTTGCAGAGCAAGACAACTTCACATCCAAGTCGTGGAACGTGGTAACCGTAGGTAAAAGACGCGCTTTGGTGGACTGCGAATTCGAACTGAACTTTGAGGAGATTCGAATGCCGCCATGTTATTTCATGCCCATTCCCACACACTTTGCCACCACCCACTTTCCTGATGACAAGTCCCATCAGCTGCTGCAGGTCGACGTCACGATGAAGCAGTTCCGAAGCCATGAAAGTTGTTCGACATCATCATTTCGCAGAAAAACAACCGAAGAGGGCTCTGCAATGAAAAATGAAGCAAAACCAGACGAAACTAAAGCAGAAAGGCAGACTTCCTGCAACCCACAGGAGGAAGAGTCCACGGAGGATGACGACAGAGATCTGAGTAAGTCAGCCTTTGCGTGTATCATAACTCATAAGCAATAGAACTTATCATCAGTAGTTCAAAAGGCTAGAAATTATCCACCAATGACATCATATTAAGAGTATACTGAAATAGTGGGGGGGGGGGGGAGGGGGGAGAAAGATTTAACCAGCTAGCGGTAAGTAAAGGGAGGGCGGCAAAGTAGCGCTGGCAGCGGGGATAGTGTAGCTGATTTGGGGTAAAATCAACTTAATAATAGTTCCAAACCTACATTTTGCACGTGCGAATACGGATGCCTTTTCTTCTTCTTTCTTCTATGCCTCAATAGAACTGGAGGACCCGGGGAATTCCCGTATTAAACCTCTGCCAAAAGATTGCACCCATCTCATCATGATCAGTTACTGCTTGAGCCAGCAGAAGAAAGTCAGCAAGATCAAAAAACATCTCGAGGAAACAGGCTACAGGGTGGGTAAAGTCTTATTGGTGTATCTAGTAGTTGATGAAGAAGTAAACCATAACGCAGCTTTAAAAAAGTCCAACTTTAATTTACGTAAAACAGTCAGTCTCATCAAGTCAGTGCCTTGTAATGTTATTGTAATGTTGTTTTAGGTGTGGATGAACGACGGCAACATAAAAGGTACCATAGCCAAGGCGAAGGCAAAAGCGGTGAAAGAAGCTGCTGTTGTTCTCATCGCCTTTTCGGAGGACTACACTGAAAACGAGCATTGCAAGCGAGGTATTTGTATCTTTTTGCTCCTTTCATTCAATCTAGGTTTGCAATGTTACACTTTAGCTTTATTGAATTTTTGCGCTTTCACTCATTGTTTTAACGGACAGAGATGATATTGTCTCGACATTGCACACTTTCTTCAGTACTGTACGACTCCCTTCCTGTGATTCGGTGAAACTTAATTTTCATCCTTCCCTGCTTACAGAGTTTAAACCATTAGGTAAATGTATGATACACATTCAAGGAAGCCGTTTTTAAACAAGATCCTTAGCTCAAACTTAGCTAGCAAGAAGAGTTATTTTAATGACAATCAAAAAGTGCCTTTCTTCACATCCAGAAGCCCACATGGCACAAAACCACAGAAAGGGGATTGTCGCCCTGAAGATGACGGACTACAAGCCTGAGGGCTGGCTGGAGATGGTGATTGGTAGGCTACAGTACATCGACTTCTCATCCGCCGAGCTCGAGCCCTCAAGTGATAAACTGAAGCAGCTGGAGGACCAAATCGAGCATAGGCTGGAGGAAAGAGAAGCTATGTAAGGCATCCCGGTTTTTTACATCATTTTGTAACTGTTTATATTTCATTGTGTGAGGGAAACCTTTGTGTGCCGAATGCATAATTGAAAAGTCGTAGAAAAGCAGCTGACTTATAAAATATATGAAATATATGCACAGGCTCACTGAATGCAGCTCTTCAGCGAAAAATGAAGCAAAACCAGACAAAACTAAAGAAGAAAGGCAGCCGTTCGGAAACCCACAGGAAGAAGAGTCCACGGAGGATATCGACGGACCTCTGGGTTAGTCACCTTTGCTTGTATCTTTCTGACCACTTGACTGCTAGTTCATAATGCTAGAAATTAGCTGAAAATGTCATCATATCGTCCATGGAGGATCGATTAAGCTTAGCTTCATCTATCAAACCTATTGAAAATGTTACTTTTCAAAACAAAACAAAACAAATCAAACACATTATCAAAACAGAACACTACCTTCGTAGTCTTGTCTTAACTTAATGATATGGTAACCTAGTCATAAGCCTCATTTTGAATTATGCAGCCCGGTTTTGTATCTGTATAGCTGGTATAACCTCCCTTCGGCGTAACACACCAGCTTCGTAGGCACGCGTCGCGGTGGCAGCTAGTTATATCACACCGAACGACTTATCGTCTTTCCTCTCTGCCTGCACAGAACTGGAAGAGCTGAGTGATTCCCGTCTTAAACCTCTTCCAGAAGGTTGTTCCCATCACATCATGCTCAGTTACTCCTGGTGCCAACAGGAGAAGGTCCGAGAGATCAAACAACATCTGGACAAAGTGGGCTACAAGGTAGGTAAAATTGTGTATCTAGTACTCAGCTTAATGGTCGATCTCTCTAGGTAAGAAAAAAATGGTGAAACATCAGTCATGTCTTATCATGAGTCATTTGCATGTTTTAGTTACCTTGTAATGTTGCTGTAGGTGTGGATGGACGAGATCCACATGAAAGGTACCCTGACCAGCTCCATGGCAGAAGCGATCAAAAAAGCCGCCATTGTTCTCATCGCCTTTTCCGAGGACTACGCTAAAAGCAAGCCTTGCGAGAATGGTATCTGTATATTTCCCTCCTTTCATTCAATCTAGGTTTGCAATGTTACATACAGCTTCATTGACTTTTTACACTGTCTGTCACTCACGGAGCAGAAAATTTCTCAACTGAAAAAAGCAATTTCTTCATGAAGTGAGGCAGTTATCATTTCCGGCTTACACATTTTGAGCATTACACATATTCAAGGAAGAGGTTTCCAACAACGGCAGAGATTCAGCTGTTATGACAATTTGCAGGTTTTTAATTGGTAACATGTAAATAATTTCTATACGCGCTGGAAACAATCTTTAAGGAAAGATGCTTACTTCTGTTTGTTGAAAATTATTTCGATTTGTCTTTCTTTGTATCCAGAAGCCATCTTTGCGCAAAACCACAAAAAAGGGATTGTCCCCCTGAAGATGACGGACTACAAGCCAGACGACTGGCTAGAGACGGTGATTGGTGGGATAAAGTACATCGACTTCTCATCCGCAGAGCTCTCAAGTGAAAACCTGAAGCAACTGGAGTACCAAGTCGAGCACAGGTTACAGGAAAGAGAAACTATGTAAGGCGATTCGCAGCCCCGTTATTACTGTACATAATTTTGCAACTGTTTATATTCCATTGTGTGTAGAAATTCAATCCTTCTGTGTGCCAAAAGAATACTTGAAGAGTAGAAAATACAATTCACTTAAGAAACCCGTCTACAATATCAAAATGCAGTGAACCTAGTGTGTGTGACAAACTCTCACTGCCCAGGGGAAGTCTCTGGTACTGTGAAAGGCAAGCCCTCCTTACTGAGGGAATTTCCTGATGTAAGATACTAAATACAATGTCAGAAACATGTAAGCACATGTACATACTTAAAAAAACACGCGTGCCTTGATTTAAAAAGTCTGATGATGTTGACGAATTGCAGACCTGTATAAAGTTTGTAGTGCTATAAAGTTTGTATTGCTATAAAGTTTGTATTGCTATAGAGTTTGTATTGCTATAAAGTTTGTATTGCTATAAAGTTTGTATTGCTATAGAGTTTGTATTGCTATAAAGTTTGTATTGCTATAGAGTTTGTATTGCTATAAAGTTTGTATTGCTATAAAGTTTGTATTGCTATAGAGTTGGTATTGCTATAAAGTTTGTATTGCTATAAAGTTTGTATTGCTATAAAGTTTGTATTGCTATAGAGTTGGTATTGCTATAGAGTTGGTATTGCTATAAAGTTTGTATTGCTATAAAGTTTGTATTGCTATAGAGTTTGTATTGCTATAAAGTTTGTATTGCTATAAAGTTTGTATTGCTATAGAGTTGGTATTGCTATAAAGCTTGTATTGCTATAAAGTTTGTATTGCTATAAAGTTTGTATTGCTATAGAGTTGGTATTGGTATAAAGTTGGTATTGCTATAAATAGGCAAAAGTTGATGAAGTGATACAGGACATTACATAGTTTTTCCCTCGTATATTACAAGCTTTGGTATATATTATCACAATCTTTAGGGTGCAAAGAACTGTCGTTACTGTTGTCACGTGAAACGTTAGCTCTCAACTAGTTTTAAATATACATGGCATTGTCATACATTTTGAATTGTTATCATACACTTTAAAATGTTTCTTACATCATCAATGCAAACATTGAATATCTCAAATAAAGTTTGAGTTTCCACTGCTCTTATAAATCCATTGAGTTCGTACTACTATCCTATTGATGGCTGTGGTTGTTTGAAGCCACGTATATTTACTGTGGATAACGCTTGGCTTGTGCCCCCCTCCCCCTCTGCCCCCCTCCCCTACCTAACCTGCCTTCTCAGGTATCCAAATGAGCCACTAAAGTTACTCACTCAGTAAACACCCAGGGGCGAAGTGCACACGACGTGACAGGTACACAATGGCAGGGTCACGTGTGAGCAACGCTCAGACCTTTCAACCATGATACTGTTTACTGTTGCACACAAATCCTGAACAAAAAAACATTTTCATTGGCTTACCACAAAACCACATTACATGTGCATGTAGTATACAACAACACACCAGATCCATTCGGTGGTTGTTGTATACAGGGATAAGTACACAAACACAGAAACGTCAGTGTTGTTGACAGTATAAATCTTTAACCGGGTAGCGAAGCGTGAAGGTCACTGTCTGCACCCTAGGAGGCCACGTGCAGTAATTTAAAGATTGGGTCAGTGGAAAAGTTAAATCCAGAACCATGAAGCATTCACACATATTCAAGAGTCAATGGTAGGTCATATTGTGAACGTCTACAAATTACAGCTAACAATATAGTAGTAAACGTCAATCTATTAACGGTGATACTGTATGTGTACATGTCAGTGCAGTTAGGGATCTAGAATCCAGAAATGGTTTGTTAAAATATGATTATTGAAATCACTATCACTATATTCTCAGGTCATGGTTGACGTATTCATACGTCTGAAGGTGTGTGATTTAATTAACAACCTAGTGGCATTTGGCGGGAACCTTCCCACCAATGACCGCCCTCCTGGTAGGTATAAAATTCAATTCAAAATTTTCCTTTTAGTAAATCAATTGTCTGCTTCGTTGTTTGATTCCTTTTCGGATTAGAATACAGAATCCAGTAGTGCTAACGAGAGATATCTATGTATTTCCTTTATGAACGTATACAGTATAGCAATCATTACAAATAAGGAATAGTAATAGTTGTACAGTGCAAATCATAAAAACCAAGATTTTGAAACGCTCCTACAGGTGTTTTGTCACAATTGGCTTATGGCCAAAGATGATGGCGTTTCCATTGTGTGTAAATGAATTCACGTTGTGGTTCTTCTTTCACTTCTACGTTCAATGTGACGACTAGTGCGAGACGCAGATTTATTTTCCGTCACTATAGCTCGTTCTGAAATGCTGTGCATCTGATAGGAGGTTCTCAAACCTGTGTAAGGTAAGAGTGACACCATGACTGAAGAAGAATGGTAAAAGTTTTAGAAGGAAATGTGCAGTAATTTTAGTCACTACGACTGAGATTCTTCCAAAAGAGGAACTTGGAACTTGCCTTCAAGACTTAGTCAACTTCCTGGGTAGAAAAACTTTGTTTCACTTGACCAAATTTGTTAGAGTAACAAAATGAGCTTACAGCTCATCTGTGTGAATATTTCGCCAATTGTTGCCGTTTTGGTGGCCATTCAAGTTGCAGCTGTCAACTCCCAAACTATCAACGAGAATGGAGTGCTACAACCGAGACTCGGAAGAAAGATCTTGTCTGCTGGCCACAGCGTGGACTATGTGATCAAACCGTCTGATACCGACGCCGTGGTCAATGGAAGTGCGACTCTTTACTGCAAAATTAACTCCGTAATGACCAGCACGTCGGTGAAATGGTTCGGTCCCCCGAATTTCCACTTCCGGACCGAGGGTAGAAGTTCTGGACACCCGAGGTATTCCGTGACCGGTGGCGAGGGGGAGTACAACCTGTTAATAAGCCCTGTACGACCAGAAGATGGAGGGATGTTTCGCTGCTGGGTGAGAGAACTCAGAGGTGAACCGGCGGAGGCCATGTTGACAGTACTCAGTGAGTGACATTAGTATTTCAGTCTATACAATAGGAATGGATGGAATATTGCGTTTACTCATGTTTCTTCTTCCCCTTCTCCTCCGGTCCTTCTCCTGCCATTTTTAAATGGACTCAATTTCTTCAATTTTGGGGCCAAATTATCTGAAATTTGATAAAGGGATAGAATGAAGAAAATAAGATCTTTTTGACTTCGTGTCAAATTTGAAAGGAGAAATTTTAAACTTGGATGCATTAGCAAATCACTCGCTTTAGTCAGAAAATATTTTGGAATATTATACAAAGGGGTCAGGAGTTTGGAACAGTCCATTTAATGGGGAGGGAGATGGGCTGAAATATGTTGTATTTGCTCCCGGGCAAATGCCGGCCTTTCTAGTTTTCCCAAGTATTTCTTGTGCTAGGAGTAGATTTCACACACAAGAACGCAATTTTAGGATCGAGATTATGCATTTTGCTTGTGATGGTCTTAGTTAAAATCTAAAGCTTCCGCTTAGATTACGTATCTTAGTGGAGGTTTTCCTGACTAAAATTGTATATAGTCATTATCATCATTCCTAGTAATGTCATTATATCATTACGACCATTGTTTTGCAAGGACTTTGTCAGTGTTGTATAGTGTGTGCGTATAGGGAAATCGCTTCAGATAGTCACGGAGATATAAAACAGGTCCATACATAGTTAATATTGTGTAGGCGTGTATGGTCAGATTGTGTACATGCACAACATTACACTTTCGCTAAGAACGCTGGGATTGCTTACTGTGTAGACCAAAATGTCAATAGAAACCACAGACATGTTTTGCATCGTGCCGTAAGACGGGTTCAAGAAGGTCGAACCTCGAGCTCAGTCAGGTGACGACAGAAAAATTCAGTCAGCATTCAACTTCGCTGAGAACCATGGGATTGTTTATTACTGTCTAGAGCATGCACGACTTACAGTGGTGTCAATAGAAACCACGGACCTGTTTTGCTCTCTATGCTATAGCTAAGGCAACTTTACAAAGGTTGTGGCACGGTGGGATCAGGTGGGATCATGCATTGTGGCTTCCAAGTTAGTTTTGCGGGCGGGGAGTTGGTACCGTGCCAACGTGCAACCTGACGGTGACATTGACATTGAAACGGAAATAGACACAAAGTACGCAGAAACTATGCGTCATGTTGTGGCAGAGTTTTCGTTTTCACCAGTTTCTAGCCATAGTTTATAAGTTTATGACAGTCTGGGAGATATTTAACTGAGATATTTAACTCCAACTATAGTCGAGAAATGAACAAATAAAGGAGTAAACGATATACTTATTACCCTCCATGTAATGGGGGCATTGTTTTTGGTCCGTTTCATGTTTTGGTCTGATATCTGAAGATCGGTGAAAAGGAACTGTATGATATTTGGCAGATTGATGGATGGGGCCTTGGAGATTGTGTAGGTTGACTTTGAGCCCCTGGTGATTGACCTTGGTACTGCAGTTTAATTTTTTTATTCTATTGTTGGCGCGTTATGGACTGTTTGTGCGATATTAAGGTAGCATGTAGTTGTTATTATTATGGTTTAGTGGTTTAAATTTGGGTTTCCTAGCTGTTTGCGTTTGATATTTACAAAATGTTTAACGTTGGTCTTTTTGTGTTGAATGTTTGGAAAATCTGGTGGATGGTTTGGTATAATTTTTGGTATGTGGGTAGTTGTTGAGTCTCTTTGTGTTTTAGAGTGCATTAGCAGGTTGTCGTATATTTGTATTGCTTAATTTAAAAGGATTTCTACATTATCACCCCTATTTTATAGTAGTGTGGTTTGTGTTTGACCACAGTGTATCTATTTTTACCTCCTGTTTGACAGGCTATATATTTCTTTGGTCTGGTCGTTTTTGGGTCATTGACCTGCCGGCCTTGCTAATGGGGTGGTTTGTTTGTACACAACACCAACCTCGTTCATGGAGGGAAGATGTCTATTGCTTGTTATGGCTGTGTGCGGTACAATTTGTATATGCTGATATCGTATGGTTTATCGTGGCCTGAACATGTGTATGTCTGTATCAAGGAGCTCATACATAAGCTCCTTGGTCGGTATACATTGGCATAGTCTTAAAGTCCACCCAATTATATCATTTCCAGCCCAGACAGGAGCCCCTGTTATCACTGGTTATAGTAACCCTGTCAGAGAAGGAACCACACTGACGCTATCCTGTACCAGCCATGGTGGAGACCCCCCGTCAACATTGTCATGGTCCTTGGGTGCAGCTCCATTGGAAGGAACTACAGATGACAACGAGATACGGGCGACCATTAGGATTACACGAGAGCATCATGGCCAAGCTGTAGCTTGCACAGCATCTCAGCCAGGGTATACTCACCTGCTGCGTCCACTGACTACGCAGATAACTTTGGAAGTGCTATGTGAGTAAGCCTACATTGAATTACGTCGTCATTATTGACAAGAATAATTGACAGACTAGCCTAGGCTTCTATCGGGCTTTGGAAAGTGGATGGAAAGGATAGAAATTGGTCAAATAGGCAGATGATAGGGAAACGGCAAACTGTTCTGTTAGCGTGGACGAACTCCCCTGGCATATCATCTGTCTTTTTGACCAATTTCTGCTATTTCCAGCCGCTTCCCGAAGCCTAGTAGAGGCTATTAACAGACACCACGTCGTTTGCTTGAGTATATTTATAGTTATATGGTCAGGCGGTCTAATAGAAACTATTGCATTAAACTACTCAGAACAACGGGATGGTACATTTCCTTTACAATCATTTTAGATATCATTGATGCATTTAATTGTGATCCTTTCTTTGCCCAATATGTAGATGCTCCGTTGGTGAGCATCACTGTGTCGTCCCCTGAAATGCCGACAGATGGCGCAACTGTACAGGTGATTGAAGGGGAACCCGTGACCATCAGCTGTAACGTAGAAAGCAATCCACCGTCGACTATCACATGGGAAGTTCCGAGAAGCGTACCATTGCCGCTTGAACCTGAATTCCACATCAGCGCCATCAGAAGAAACCAACGTGGGACCTTCTCCTGTACTGCTGCTAACTCCATCGCAACTACAACTAAAATGGTGATAGTGGACGTTTTTTGTAAGTTGTGACTATTGCAATCGGTTGAACTGTTATTAATCGTATTCCTTTCGCTATCATTCCATTCATACTACAAGTTCTCTGGTCTTCAGGACAGCTGAAGACCAGAGCTCCACTGGATACGTCACATATTGGTAGTGTAAGCACTAGGTAAAAGGTCTTTGGAAGTCAATGTCGGCCCCGTCTTTTTTTCCAAGGAATGCCGCGGCCCTCACGCATATGCACCCTTGTCCAATCTGCAAACATGCATTATCGTGCTTATATAATTACATGTGTTTTTGTGAAGAATATACCAAATATAGAATATTTAAATCAATTGATGAATACGTGTTTCCTTTTTCATTACAGATCCACCTAGAATCCTGACCAATGTTAAACACAAACAAGTGACAGTTGGAGCTAAGCTGACACTTACCTGCGCTGCCGAAGGGAATCCAGTTCCGAAGGTTACTTGGTTAAACAGTAGTAACACTAACAGTGCTATTCTGGCCAACCCACTGGTTATACCTGCCGTGAGCTACTCCATGACCGGTAAATACGTCTGTATCGCCAATTCTTCTCGATTTGGTCGGGACGAAAAGGAAGTCTTCATCGAAGTTACAGGTAGGTGGAAAATACATTCAACGGCAAACGCAAATTCCCAAGTGTTTTCAGCGTGCCACTGGGTTCTCCTCTGTAGCAACAATATCTTTCGATGGATTGCAAAATTCATGGAGCTCCTTCCCAAAATCATGCTTCGCTCTCGAATACAATCCTTAAACTTTTAAAACAAATATTTACCGCGATCTTTTTCTGCATCTAGATCTGCTATGTGTGGTACCCAATGCAAGATGTGGGTAACAAAGGTTGACTATATCTTAGTTTATTGTCTATTGGCATACTTCAACTTCATTCTTCAACAGACAATAATCCCATTTTAAAGTCCCCACTCACTTTGATTCCATGTAGGTAAACCAGTGATCATGCCCAGTAGTGACGTAGTGTATGCAGAAGTTGGATCTGCAGTAGAACTGAGGTGTGAAGTAGGAGCAGTTCCTCCCGTCAACGAGTCGTTCTGGTCATGGACGGAATCGGATGGAAACAGAACCGCTCTATGGAGCAACGGCACAAAACACAGGTTCAATTTTCTGTGACCATTCTTCTGTTCAACGATGTTGTTGGTTAAGTATAGGTTATAGATTCTTAGTGGTCAGACAGCTCCTAAACTTCGGCCAACTTTGGTCGGCTGCTGGTGGCCGGGGGAAGGCTCTGAATGTGTGACATGCGGGGGCTTCAGAGATTGTTCCTTCAAGTCTATATAATGACACGATTGCGTTAGAATCCTACTATTGAATGTAGAATTTGGTGTTGAATCTTAAGACCGTATGTCTTTGTACTGAACTAGGTTTTCAGCGTATCAGTTGCTCTCAGCAAGAGGAGTCACCATGGTACTTGCCATAGACAACGTCATGCCTGACGACTTCACACATTACACATGTACAGCCATCAACCGATTCGGACAGGATAGTAGGGTACTGATGCTGAAACCGTCGATGGGTAAGTTTTAGAGATGGACTTGAGTTGATTGAATACTAATTTATAATGAATGCTATACTTTAACTCTACTTTTGTCTATGCGTAGTAATACATAGACGAAAGAAAACTGACTCTGCGTAGTATTACATTAAATGTTTGTGTTGTATATCAACTAATGTTACATATTGTATGCGTTGGTATGTTAGACATCCAGGTAATGAGATACACGAGAAATTGTTGCTCAAGCAACTGGATAGATGTGGAAAACTGTCAGACGTTTCAAATAGCATCTGCACTGCTTATCATGAGTGACTTATCGTCGACGGAATGTAGTGGGTGCTACTTAAAACTTCTGACAGTTTTTGAAATCCATACAGTTGCTTGAGTAAACATTGTTTTTACATGATATGTTTCTTGTTGTTATATGATGTATATTAAGACAATGTTATCATATTGCTCCCCTAACAGGAACTACGTATCCCAGCCTCTCACTACCCCTACTAGTTGGTTTAGGCTGTAGTGCCTGTGTAGTCTGCCTTGTCCTGCTATACTTCACCAAGAGGTGTTGTCATTTGGTAAGGATGTAACGTACTCCTAACATTGCGTGTGCATCTTTCCTATATAACACACTCGTACATTGTTCTAGAATCTATATTGCTAAGAGCATAGTCTATATCCATGTGCTCCGTATTCTCCTCAATAGGTCAGGAAGACAGAGGAAAATGACCAGTTCGAGATAGAAGATACCATACTGCAACCACTGAATGGAACTTCTAATGGGCATGCTGTAAGATTCCAAAGTATGGATGTGACCGATTCGACCATCCACCTGCAAACCCCAGTCGACAACGCGAGATCGGAGGTATGGTAGACACACAAGGCAATTTGTCTTAGATTCCGGTGACCCTCTTTGTATTTTGATGCGTGCTTTAGGTGAAATCCATGTTGTACAAATGTGCAATTGCTATGAAGGCATGTTGTAGTTTCCTGTCGTATTTACACAGTCGCAAGATACAAGAGATGGGCAAAACAGTTCGGACATTCAAAGACACCGGCATAGAGAGGAGGAGGTCCTGGTGGGTCTAGACATTCATGGACAGTCTGAGGTACATTTTACAGCAGTCAAGTTCATCCTCTTCTTTTCATTGCGAGTTCTTGGAAGTTCAGTAGAAAACTGAATTCCAAAATGCACTGTTCAACAATCGATACATTACATACTATCAGTTTCACTTATCAGTTATGTCTACACAATATTCTAAAAAGCAAATGTCCTAACGGCGCTGGCGTCTCCTTTTATGTTATATTGAACTTATAATGTAGTGTAATTGTTAATGAGTGTGTACTTGCTTTAACGATGTTTATGTTAGATTTCAGATTATTTTTAATTTTTGAAGTGGATAATGAATTAGATCAGATTGGAGGAAGTGCTTGCCTACCATTTTGTTCAGAACAACAAAATTCAGACTAATGTCTGCGAATTGTGTTGATAAAAATTGAATTGAATTTAAAAAAAAAACATAGCACGCCAATAATGATAAAGGATTAATCAGAAAGATGTATGCCCTTGTGTTGCAGTACCAGCTGCCACATGAAAACGACCACATCACATACATGTACCACAGTAGAGACAGCAGCGGTGCCCATGTCGTGGAACCAGAGGGAAGGGATATGGAGTTCAACCCAGACCAAATAACATTCCTGGAAGAACTAGGGGAGGGCCAGTTCGGGAAAGTCCACAAGGCAAAAGCGCACTTCGTCCATGATCAAGCAAGGTCGTCGACGATGATCGTTGCTGTCAAAACTGTGAAAGGTATGCATCAAGTACAAAGTCAGAGGTGAAAGTTGCAACAGAACAAGAATCATGAAAATTATTCATCCTGTTTCATAGTGTTCAACAACAATGCGAGTATCAAATTGGCATGGCGATGCATTTAACCCCCGAAGGTTGGCTGGCAAAAAGATGAAAGCCCGATTTAAAGGCCTACAAACTCGTCAAGAAATAAGACGAGTCCTAAAAGTCTGCTTGAAGAGTAAGTGTGTTACCTCTACTGTCAGTATATCTCAATGTTTCATGTCATTTTCCAGCCCACGCCTCATCTGAAGTTCGGGACGACGTGTTGAAGGAACTGAGGATGATGATGCGACTGCTGGACCCACACCCAAATGTCGTCACACTGCTAGGGTACTGTACAAAATCAGGTAATTCTCATTCAATATAACTGCATATTCTACATTGTTGTTGATTGTGTCAGGTTTGTTGACTACGTAGATGAAAGCTCCTCTCTTTTGGAATCGATGTAGATTTTCTAACGGTGTTGCTTAGAAGATTGGCTGTAGAAACATTGGCTGTATAAGGACTTTGAAACAGAGGTTTGAACGGTGTGACGATGTAACTGGAGGAGAACCTAGTCTAGCGGCACGCTGAAAAGTTCTCAATGGTGCCCGGGTAATATTGGGTGGGTCTATGATGTTTGATTGCTTGATAAATGATGCCAAATAACGCATACATACGTTACAATATATTGTTCCAGATCCGGTCATGCTGGTAGTTGAATACGTGCCCAACGGAGATCTCTTGTCGTTCTTGAGGAATGACCGAGCCGCACGGAACGTGACGTACGCAAACCTGCACACGGAGAGCAGGACCCTGCAGAACACTGACCTCATCTCATTCGCCTGGCAGGTGTCCAAGGGAATGTGTTATCTAGCGTCCAAACAGGTAGATGCTTGCTTGAAATTAACTTTCTTTATTGCAGCCCGATGGCTAATTGTAAACTGACACAAGGACAATGAGTACAGAATGCGTTGAAGAATGGTATAACTTCTACTAATCTAACTTCTGTCTGTACTTAAAACTTACAACGTATATACATGTATATATATGTGTGTGTGTGTGTGTGTGTGTGTGTGTGTGTGTGTGTGTGTGTGTGTGTGTGTGTGTGTGTGTGTGTGTGTGTGCGTGCATGTGTGTGTGTGTGTGTGCGTGTGACAGAGAGAGGATGCTGCTTGCACATTGTAATTGTAGCGAGTAAAATAACTACTCTTTTACATACCGCATAAAACCTTCTCCAGTGCATCCACAGAGATCTTGCAGCCAGAAACGTTCTAGTAGGGAAGAACAAGACGTGTAAAGTATCGGACTTCGGTCTGGCAAGGGATGGACCAGAATACAAGAAAGTTAAAGATGTAAGTTGACTTGCTTACCGTGTATAGAGCTAGAGCCGTAGTGCAAAAAATAAACTGCCTTTGGGTAGAATCGCCATCAATAAATACATGGTGCATTTGCAGTACCATAGGAGACTGTTAGTTGGTTGGACTGTCATGCAGGGGAGAGGACTTCAACCCACACATCCAACCCACACAACAATCATATTGTTTTCATTATTTTAAACAAAATGCAAAAACCAGTCAAGCTACGACAAATATTGGTAGGAACACTGGCTTCTGGAGAAAGGTTGACATTTTAATTTGACATTTGAATATTAGAAAAAATGTACCTGATCTTAAATAACTGGGCATATTATGTGAGTCACAGAATGTGTAGTAGCAAGATGACAATAATGCTGACCATATGTCCTTTGACAGTCACCCCTCCCCCTACGCTGGATGGCTCCAGAGACTCTGTCCATAGAAAGGCTCTACACGACCAAAAGCGATGTGTGGTCTTTTGGTGTGCTGCTTTACGAAATTGTTACATTAGGTATGTATCAAGTTTTATTTATTCAAAACCATTCAAGATTCTAACTTGTCTTTGACTGGTCTTCCACAACACATGGTCCAAACACATAAGGCCATTGACTTGTACCAGACGTCTGTCACCATGGTAACTGGTGCCGTGGATGTGTTTGAGAAAGAATAAACAGAGCAGTAGTTTGTTAGTCAAGACCATGTGTAGTTCATCTTTTTGCCCCCCATAGGTTCCACACCGTATCCTACCATGTCAGCACAGCAGGCTGCTTTGGAGGTTCAAATGGGGATGATATTACAGAAGCCAACGCACTGCACAGGCGATCTGTAAGTCTGTAGAAATTCTTAATATACAACAATCATTCCTATTGTCATTTTTGTTCATTTGCTTATGACAGCTCAAACGTTCTCATTTGTTAACATACGGCGTACAGTAGAAAATCAAACACAAAATTAGATGTTCTTTGCGAAACGGTTTAGACAGCATTTCTTCATTATCTGCCGTAATTCGTTGTCTCACAGATATTTCATCATGGAGAACTGTTGGCATTTCTTACCTGACGAGAGACCTCCCTTTTCTGAGCTCTCGGCTGCTTTATCAAGGCTAGTAGTGGATGAGAAGGTTGGTGAATGTCATTACATATTTGTTGAATTAAGTCCGAAATATGCAATGAGTACCTTGATGACTGGAGAATGGAGACACATTTGTTTGATAACTACACACGAGTAGGTAAAATATTGTTTCCTCTAATGATTACCCCCAGGTAATTATCTGGTTGAATTGTGTATATATATTGATAATGATAGATAAGGTTGTAGATTATACTGTAGTAACGTATTAGATAAATGGCTAATGACGTTGTCTTTATCATTATTTCCCCAGGATCACATCATGCTGAATCAGTACGACGAGCATCAATACGCCAACCTGGAGCGGTCAGCTGAAGAGGTCTGCTAGTAACATCAAATGTTATCTACAAACATTGCTACATTACATTATCAGTAAACATTGAACCCTGTATGTATCCATGACTATTGCAATAAAGACGAAAAGCCATTCTATTTTGTTGCATGTTGTTGCTTTTTTGCTAAGTCCCTGCCATTTGTTAAGAGTTGAGTTTACTTAAACTGGAGGATTCGGTGCCCAGGGCGACGCAATAAGGAAGTACTCCCCACTGTGGCTTCTCCAGCAGCTTGAATAGTGAATTGACCCCCATAACCACATAAACTAATAAACATCCTAGACGGTCCAGCCACCGAAAACAATGGCAGGGACAGATTAGCATAATAACTGTCACTCTTTTTGAACAAATTCAAATGTTTTTTCTATACTGGTTTTCAAACTAACAATATCAAACCATGCAGAATGATCGGGATAGCTGTAACTGAGTCACATAAATCAAGAAAATACTATCTGCAACTTTCAGTTTCTGGAAAACCAACTTTGTGGTCAAATTTCAATTTTTCAAACTGTCTTGTCAACATTTCATCAAAGCCTCTAATTATAGATATCTAAAATGGCAACCTCACAACTGAATTAGCTTGGATAGTAAGTGAGTCTAGAAATATGGGTTGCAATTGTGGTGTCAATTTGGTAGTATGAGAAAGCAGCACTAGTATACATGTAGACTGGATCTCTGTTAGAACTGTTCAAGTAACTGCCGGCCAATCTATAACACCACCAAACCTTGGCAAAACAGTACAGTGGTGTAATTCTATATTCTGGGTAAGGTGAGGCTATCTTCTTTCTGTAAAACAGACTGTACATGTACATAAATTCCTTATCTGTTGTCAATATGTTACAAACACAAAGTGTCTTTAAGAGCCCTGTGCCCATGTTACCACCACGGTAGTCAGGGACAGAATGGGGCCTGGTAGTTTACGTTAGCCGAATTTATTGGGTTCTTATATAGTGCAAGCCTGCTCTTTAAGAACTTGTTTCTTGTGTAACTCGATATTCCCTTATACCATGACATTTTTGCACATGAACGCTGTATTGAGCACAGTATAATTTGCACCGTGGCCTTTATTACAGACCGTATTCTGTGGAGAGCAAAGGCTATGATATCTGTACGCATTTATTGTATGATAATTGGTATTTCTAGATATCGTTGCGTATCGCTGAAACGTTATGTAAATCATAAGCAACTCAAGTTTAGTAAGTAATATTACGCATGTCCGAACTCATCTCCAGTCACGTTTTAATCAGGTTCATGAACAGTTTACTGTAATGTTTTAAACCAACACACGCTACCATCCGACTGTACAATAATCAATGCCCACCGATTGTTACAATAATTAGCGGAATTGCATACTACTTAACAGCCTGTGACTATTCTCGAGCTCATACAATATATCAGTCAAGACGATTAAAATCATTTCCGGATGCAATGTTCGATGTTTCTTTGGTTATGACTGCAGTGCCACTAGTGTTTCCTGTGGGTGCTTTACACCACCTATACTGGGGTTTTACCCAGCAACTACCCCCAAATCAGAAGTATAACCCACAGAAGGAAGCTTATATGGAAGAAATAGAAAGCATCGACTTACAAGAAGAGGAGCTCCTGTACATATACGTATGTATGATACGTCCTCCCGTTTGCTTGTGAGCGTGGCGAAAAGAGCATCAGTTTTTCGTTCGACATCATAAGGAATACAGAAATGACAGACACATGTATTTGGTACCAAAACTGCATATTTATTCAAAAGCTTAACAAGCAAATGCACATACACGATACACGATACACTATCCTATAAGTATAACTAAGGCGATTTGTTTTAGTTATGTTACCGATTGTCCTGCTCAATAAGTGATGCTAGTTCTACTCTATCTTCATGTAGATATATCTATTAAACCTAACAGTACATGACACAACATTATTATAAAGCAGGATCAATGCACGTTACATTCTAGATTAAGGCTTCCTTACAAATACAACACCATGCATATTTTTGGTTACAGGTAACTTGAAGTAAGCAAACAAATATTCTCACTCTACAGGTCTGCACTAATTATAAGCCGCAGTCATGATACATAACTCTAACATCATGGCTTCTTGTCAATAAGTCTATTAATAACTATAATACGGGCTAAGCAATAACTAACCGGGCGATGAACGTTATATTAGTCCCCTAAGCTTCTTAAAAGTAACAACAGCACACTATAATTTTGCGTCTAAAATCTTAGATAAAGACAGCATATTCCGCTTACATAATATTCCTTTAAGTTAGAAGATGACAAAGTTGATATCAAGATACAAGTGCTATTATTACCAGCAATTTGCATACATCTTATGAGAACGATTATTCCACAATGTTTGACAACCACCCTCACTGCACTTTGGCTATTTCCAATTTTCTGCACTTTGGTCTCCTTTTGCTAATTGACAATCTGACGGTTGTCAATTACAAATATGTCGGTCAATATGTTGAAAATAGTCTCCATAGAAGTGCGTTGTTTTTACATCTTACAGTTTATCATATTGGCCGTCATGTTTGTTACATTGTGGTGGCAGTAATGGTACCTTTAAAAGCTCCTTCCACAGGCATTTTTTTAGCTGACGTTTTTTATGTGTTAAATTTGTGTTTATGTGTCGTTTGGTGTCCATAATTAGAATGTTCCTTCATACATTTGGCTCTTTGAAAAATCTACAATTTGTCAGAAATGTTCTTTTGTTATAATGTATTGTACAGATATCGTTATGTTCAAATAGTATGGAATTTGTCCAATATATGGCGTTGCTGTTCTGTGCTATATGTTGTGGACTTGTCGTGAATTAAGTCTTAATCCGACCAAAAAAATCTGTTTCGTTGATGCATTGATTATCCCAAATTTTGTAAATTGGTTCATGTCAGCTTTACTTATATGAATTGAAACCTTGTTATATATGTGTGTATGATAACGTTTTAGAGCTAAATAAATGAAGAACGATAAGAAATAAAGAAAAAAGAAAAAGAAAGAAAGAAAGAAAGAAAGAGTAATAATTGTACAAGAGTTTGTAAAAACCAGGAGATTTAGAGAGGAAGAGAGGGAGGGATGGAAACATTGAGAGACGGATGGAAAGGGAGATGGAGAGGAGAAAAAATTGCAAGAAAGAGGAAGGAAGGAAGGAAGGAAGGAAGGGTAGAGTAAGAGAGAGAAGGAAGAAGGCGGTTTGCTCTTCTTATTGACACTGCTCACGTTCTAGGGGCCGGTCTTGCCCTTTCCCCAGATCTCGAAGGAATAGTTGTCAAGACCTGAGATGAAAAAAAAACATATCCAATTAGAGCAAAGAACTGAATCCTCCGAGGAAATGATCATTTTACATTTTGCCGCAGTTACTATGGGTATATCATACCAGTAAATTTTTGGATTTAAAATCTGTATGCTGACGACCACACGTAGACACTAATCCACCATTAAAAACTAAGTGCACGGGATGGCACATCATTGCCAGCATTTTTGCTGACTTGCAGACTTTGCTGACTTTTTTTTGCGTATCTTATTTCCAGGATGTCTAACCTTCACCGACGTATTCTTTGGAATTGTATCTACAAACAAATCCTGCAGGTACAGTGTCTGGATTATATATTACTTACCAACGCGATCCTCGGCGTTTTTATTGATGCCACGACCACGTCTCTTCCTCACCACAAAGACAGCAACGACCAGCAGGAGGAGGACGCCCGCAATCCCTGCAACAGTCCCAACAGCGATGCCGACAGTGGGGGTGGTGGAGGCTGTGGAACGACACATAGACATGATAAAGTAAAGGGGATTCACTCCGCAAGCTAACCGACATCTTGCACACGCAGTCGTCCCTCAGTAAGAGAGAGTTGGTTAGAAGGCTTGGTCTTTATTTCATAAATTCTACCTTGTTTTTGTCCCCCCTCAACTTCGAATGGTCCCTGCGTGACCTGGGCTGAATGGTCCCTGTCGCTGGCACGTCGCACTCGGGACTCGGCCATGTCAGACACAGCACGCCTGCGCCGACTAGCGGAACACCCCTCACTGCAGCGCGAGTTCGGATCGTCCTTGAAGCAGACTACCATGGTGCAGTGGATGTACACCTGACATGGAGGAAGAATATTACATCTGCATTAATATAGCTGGACCGCTGCGATAGATAGAAGGCCATGGAGTAAGATATCAACAGCTGCTGATGACAATAGCACCTGATACCCCCAGCACCTGATGCCCGCAGCACCTGATGCTGCTCGCAGTTGCATTTAGCACCTGATGTCGCAGATCATTGATTGATTGCAGATCTAAACCTTATGACAATGGATAGATCACCTCACCACAAAATACATTGTAAAGAATAGTTTTTAGGACAAAACTTTACATCAACAAAGCTGACAATATGTAACACTGCCCACCACCAGGCCAGAGTTTATACATTATGTCTCTCTGTTACCAGGTTGGGTGGTTGAATGTTGGGGAAGGTGAACGATTGAATGCTGTAGTACAAAGCCATGTCGTTAGACTGTACAGTGTCTAGCTCAAGCGTTGGGTCGACGTCGCACCTAGAAATGAACACGAGAAAAGTGACCATGATGCCACAGATGATGATATACAGTACTGGCCTGGTTTTTGAGTGGTTTAACGTGGGTTAAACCACTGACCATCTCTAACGTCTACCAAGGATAACCTCCTTGCCTCTACGAAATTGGCACCACTGTTACAAGGAAATCAGTAGTTTCGTGTCCAGTTTATTGCAGTAGCTAGTTGGGGCGCGAGTTCTCGTTGGGACTGCAGAATTAAGCTCTTCCCCGGCCGCCCGACTCAGCTAGTTTCCCCGGTAGGGTTTGTACGACGTACTACTTGTACGACGTACAATTCACCACGATCAACTCCTTGCGAGCAAAACTCCTACGAGCGAAACACTCCTACCGGGCGGACTGTTGAGCTGGACGGTGGAAACTATTAGAGCCCCGACGACAGCTCTCCCCAACAACGATAGACGGGCTATGAAATTTGACCCCTGACCAACTTAAACACCACTGACTGATTATTATTGTAATACTATCTTCATCACGGCGTGTATTCCCTTTGTTGCTTAATTGATTGATGTGTATTGTTATGTTAAATTATTATTATTTTGTGTTATATTTACTTTCTTGTATTATCTTTCCATAAGCTGGGAAATCAGCCTCCAACGGCTGAATTAAAGGGACTACCCATGTGTTTGAAAGATTAATAAAAACAAAGGTGAACACAACATCGACATACCCGTCTTCAATGATGCTGACGCTTGGGGTGTCGTCAGGGTCGGTACTCGGTGTGGCGAGGCAGTCGAGTGCGAACAGCTCCAGGTTGTCCAGAGGTGAGTCTACGCTCAATCCGAAGTTAAAGTTGTCAGACGAGGATACCTAAACACAGGGAGAGAAAGAAAAATATGGAAGAGAGCGATGTATGTGGTTATTACAGCATACACGTATAATCATGGCAATCGTAACCGAAGCTAGAATGATAACATTCGCAAAGGAAATGCATAGTATTAACTCACATAATGTAACCCAACACCACACAGAGTCTGCTGCAGCACCAGTTACCATATTGACAGCCGTCTGGTGCAGGTCAAATAACGATTCTGCTTTGTTTATATCGGTCTTTGTTTGTATCTGTTATGTCTGATTTTATTGTATTTTTGTACTGGACCCTATTGAAAATCAATTTGTCAAAATTGAACTAGGCCATCCAGGTGTCTGAAGATCAAATAAATAAATAAACAAGAAGCCATAGGCGACAATTCTCCGTGAAGTATTATATATTGCAACAAAAAGAAGTAGCCATTGGCGACAATTCTCTGTGAAGTGTGATAAATCGAACAAAGAAAAATTGTTTAAACGCGCGTCGGCTCAGTCATCTTAAGACGCAACAACCAATCAGAGATGCGAGATGCCTACACGTGACGCGGGAAGGGCGCGCGATGCCCGAAATATTTTTGCGTCAATATTCAGCGCCGTGATTCAAGAGATTAATACCCGGAAACAATTTTTTTCTTGTTTTGAACGCATTAACATGCATTTACGCTAATCTAGTATGATTCAGGGTTACTTTTTTTTAACCTGCCATGGCCAGATTATCTAAAGATGTGTGTATTGTGTGTACAATCTATAGAAAGAGAAATGTACATCAGGTCCGATCATCCGATTTTCACGTTTCGGTTTTTTGGACTCGGTTCATGAACGTATTTTGGTTTGGCTCCTGGAATGTGCAAAAAAATGACTCCCGGGACTGTCTACAGGGAACACTCGCACATTCGCGGTGTATCAGGACAGCGCGACTGGTCGTCATTAGCGCAGTAACAGTTGCATAAACGGACGAAACCATTTCAAAGAAATGGGGATGTTTCGAAAATAAGCATTTACTCCAATATCAAAACAGCTACGGTAAAAATAAAAAGACGTGCATCATCCCGGACATAATGCAACACCACATGCGAAATTACACAGAAATGCGACGTACGGAAGAATGCGTTTTGGCTGCGAACATCTTCCAAAAAACTTGGCATCTCTTAACCATGGGCAAAAACATCTGGAACCACTTATAAAAACCACCCCGTATCTGCATGAACTTTTTTGAACCCCACTGCTATTCCAAACAACGCGTTTTTCTGGACCATTCCAATTCGCCTCGTAATTGTAGGGGTGCGTCTGCGATATTACATTGACCGCGAAAGCAGCAACGGCAAAAATACACATTCGTGCATCAACACGGGCATGCCCGCAGACGGCGTATAAAATTGCGTGCCGATTACACAAAGAGAACCCAGTGTTTTGACTGCGAACATGAAAAATCAGCCGATTACAACACTCCGTCCGGAGGTCCTGACCTCCTTCACGGAGTAATAAGTGTAATCACTGTTCAGCTGATCTTTAAACAACACAGATGCATTTAGATGAAGCACCCAGCCTAGCCTGAACACAACGACCGTTCGGAGCATGCATGGTCAAGGTGCACATGTTAAAGAAGTAGTTTATACTTAAGCCTTAGCGTAGTTTGATAGGCAAGTTAAGCCTCAGTGAGACCGAAGGAAGTACCTTACCTTCAAAGGGTAGTCGTCTGGTTTGTAGGTCTCCGTAAAATCTGGTGACGTAAAGGTGTCCATCCCGAAGGTGAACCGGTTGTTCCCGTCCACGACTTGCACGCTGTACAGATAGACAATTACCATCGCTGATGAGAAATTTATGCCATGCTATTTACACATTCGGTGTGAATGTAAACACGCGATTACCCGGCCAGAATCTAAATTGATATGAACGATTCTGTACTTGTAGAAGTAGAAAGGCACCCCGATGCGATTTCAGGGCGGCAAAACAAAAGCAAGTATTCTGTGATGCGGAAATCAGTCTGATATTGGCATTTTTAATGCAATTTTTTCATCATTTTGTACTTGAAGAGTTTTAACTAGGCCGGAAACAAATTACAGGAGGAGTACCTTTATCTTTGGCACCGCCAATAAATAGCTCAAATCTGCCTACGTTACGAAACAAGAAACCATTTTCTATTAGAAACACTGTATTTTTGCTCACAGGTGTAATTATGATATGGGATAGCGTTGATTCAACTTAATTTATTCTATTTAATTTAAAACTGACAAGAAACTTGACTTTGCAGATCCAGTTTTACTGCGCTGATAAATAGTTTTTCGTACATTTAATAAGCTATGCATTAAGGAAGGTTATCAGGAGCTGAGTTTCCTTTGCTCATACTGTAATATGAATTATCATAACAGACAAAATCCTAGTTTAGGCACAGTCGCCAACTCTTACCGAGGAGAGGGAATGTTGTAGAGGATTTCCTCTCCCTGTGAGACGACGAACTGACTGGTGAACTCACACTGAAACGTCTCGGTGAAGGGCGTTCCCCTTACGGCGCCATTAGCACCCATTACCGGAGCACCGATTGCCGCATTGCTGAAGGTGAGTATGCCGGCTTCTGACGACTATGAAACCAAGAAGAGATCAAAACTACACGGTACTACACGGTTTATTCGAATTCTTACTCAAAGTCAGATACTGTGCTGCTCTGCTATTTGATGTAACCCAACACCACAGCGTGTTGCTACAGCACCAGTTACTATGGTGACAGACGTCTGGTCCAGGTCATTGGCCTTATTTGTTTGGAGAAGAAGAAGAAGAAACTGAGCAAAAATAGTTTTCCTTCTGCGAAGGTAAATATTTTAAAAAAAGGGAACACCTTTGTTATGAAAGGTTATTCTACTTAGTTTCCAGTTACATGTTCCACTGCCCTGGTAGTCAGACTACTCCCGCCCGCCGATCTAAGTTACCGCCGGCCAATGGGCTCAACTCCCCCGTAGCGGTAATTTAGATCGGCGGGCGTAGTGCTTTCGGCCACCGAGGGGTACCAGCTAACGGCCCGGTATACTAGTCTACCTCCCAGGGTCCATGTAACTAGGACTAGGTACCTCATCTATTTTTTCTGTAATGTTCTCTATTTTCTACATTGTATTCTCTATATTCCAATTGTCTACTACTACTTACATCTTCTATCGTCCCGCAGTCTTGCAGACCGGTCGTGAAAGTAACCGACTCGTTGGTAACTGTCGCACGGCAGCTGTCGTCCAACAGGTGCATGTTGTCCACATCTACACCTGTTAGTGTTTCTCTAGGAAAGGTTACGGTCATGTGGTCCTGATGGCACCCCACGTTCACGATAACAGGAGCTGAAAAATAATGATAATCTTGTCGAAGGTCCTGCCGAAAACTTACAATATGCACAATTGTTCGATCTTAAATCCATGTGAGAAACACGGCAACTGCAATTTCATATTTTAAGAGAAAGGAATCTGTTAATCTCCAAGTAGATCTTTGGTGGTTACAAAGACAGAATCAAATTGGACAGATAGTATCTATATGCCAGACAGTTACCATTTCGGGAGCGGACTGGTCAATTTGATTGTGTATCTGCAGACACCAAAAGATCTGCTTGAAGATTAGGAATCTGTTCATTAGCTTATTCCATGGAAAGCCTTTTTTGATCCATGTTTTACACCGACCAACCTGTTGTCCCTGTTCCACTGATCTCTCCTATTTGCTCGTCGTTCTCTCCAAACGCAGTCAGGGTGAAGTTGTACTCTGTATCTGCCCACAGTCCGGATACGGTGGCCGTGGTGTCTCCCGGTGCAGGCGGGGTTGACCAGTCCTGGTACGAAGACCCAGCCTGATTGTAGCGGAGTCGGTACCGTGCTACCCTGTTGACGTTAGCAGGTCCAGTCCAGGCCAGGCTGATGTGGTGTGGCCCCGTGTCGACGATCGTCAAATCAGACAAAGCTGGCAAGGTAGATGCATAGATGCATTTAAGACACTTAATACGTGCACGCTAGCAACGCATCTTCTCCATACACTAACAATACATGTGTTCTATTTCAGAGTAAAAGGGTGCTAAGAAAATAAAACTTTCAAATATAATTGTTTTAGCATGCAAAAATAATGTATGACCGCACGACAGGTAAGGTTGTTTTTCTTAAATTAAATACAAAAACAAATTTGTCCAATGATGACTTGGACTAATTAAGAAGGGGAAGCCTATACAAAGGTCTTATGCTTATTTTATCATTAAATCACCAAAATTGATCAGTCATTTGTCTATTTTGTGAATCCCCTTTGATCTAGAATGCATGTTTTTTGTTACTTGAGGCAGACTATAATCTCCAAGCAGATGAAGTTTCGTAGGCTGCAAAGAACAGTATCAAATTGGCCAGGCAGTATTAATTTGCCAGACAGTTACCATTTGACCAGGCATTTTATTTGGGTGGCAAAGTGGTAACTGTCTGTAAAATGGATACTGCCTGGCCAATGTTATACAGTAACTGTCTTTACGGCCATCGTAAGATCTGCTTGGTGATTAGCAGACTAGACATACGCAAAGAATACTACAATGGCCCCATACAGGAAACTAGTGTAACGTATATTTGTGACTGGTGTTACCGGCAAGACATGAAGATTCTCATGACCTTCGTGACCTGGTGAGAGATAATGACTTTAATTGCTGCCTTAGGCGCATCTTGGCTAGAATGGTCAGATACAAAAGCAAATGTCAGTCTGATTTGTAACGTAGTTTGTGGCTCTCGAGGCGTGAATATTCCCACGACGTCCATGGCCTGATCTGAGATCATAATTTTGCCCGTCTTTTACACAACATGTTGGCATTCAAAGATTAAAAACAAGAGCTTTTGAAAAAAAACCTGTCGTTTGCCGGTGTAGCATATATGAGACAGTTTTTGTTCGACAGAATTACATGCAACAAACATGTTTCTTCAATGATGAAATAAGCTTCAAAACTTTGCACAGGCTGTCCCTTCTTAATTCTTAAGTCACCATTGGACAAATTTGTTTTTGCATTTCATTGAATTTAACAAAATACCTGTCGTACTGTTGTAAATTATTTCACACTAAAGCCAATTAATTTAATTAGAGCCAATAACAAACATGAAAGGCAAGTCGATTCAGTACTAACCATCAATATCTATGACCATCTGTTCGCTACCCTCATCGGGATCAGTTGACAAATGGCAACCCTCACTGGGACAGGTAAAACGGTAGTACTCCCCAGTATACACATTGTATACTTCAACCTGGAGAGAAAAAACATTAATAACATCAAAATGAAAATTCTAGAATTTAGTTTCAAACATAACAGAGATGATTGTACTGAGAAATTAGTAGTTTATAAATTATTATTAATAGCTTACCCAGTCTAGGATGAGCCAGTCGTTTCCTCTAATTGTAAGTCGAAGCTGCTCGGGTTCACCAAAGTTGAAAGATTGAAAGTTCCGAGTGTACTCATTCCTTTGATGTTTTGCATGTGAGAATGTAAATTCAAATATTCGTTATATATAAAGGGACCAGTGTTGTGAAAGGCTATAGGTTTACATATATGTGTGATATCTGCATGCGAATGTAACAACTTATTCATCATATTCATCACCAAATGATGAACACATTCGTCAAGAAACTACAAGATGGAATTGAATAAGCATACATGTTTCAACGAATTCTAGATAAATGTTTTACTATCTAAGAATAAACCAGCTATGTACGGGCTACACATTAGCCTGGTATCCACTCTATCGTGGTTGGGGCTGGCTGTCTTCGGGGCTCTAACAGTTTTCCCTCGTCCAGCTTAACAGACCGCCCGGTAGGATATAATGGAATTAACAGTAGTGACAGAATTCGGCACGCCCGGAGTTGATTACCGCGGTGGGGCTAATCAATGAAAAACCTACCGCGGAACCTAGCTGAGGCAAGCGGGGAAGAGCTGCAGCAGCCCCGAAGAAAATCCACCCCAACCACAACAGACTGGATTCCAGGTTAGCTATACGTATCTGATATTACCTACCCGGGTTGTGTAAGTCCGGATACAGTTGTTTCTGTGCAGACACCATCACAATCGTCAGAAATGATTTCAACTGTCAGCGAATCAGGACTGCCAGAGTGGTCCAAAGCGCTGGTCATGAACGTTAGGCTGTGATACACTGTTGGACAAAACAACATACAGTCAGATCTGGTACGGTAGCCACCTTCTAAGGCGACCACCTTTCTGGACCCCTTGAAATTTTCTCATAGACACACATGCATTGATGACGACCACCTGCGAACGACTGCCATGTTTGTTCTTCATCGCTGTTGATCTCTGATGCCCAGTGTCACAGTCAGTGTCATTCATTTTTAGTAATAATCTTCAACTGTATTACTATAATAACTCTAACAGCATATAAGGAAATCATCTCTGAGATAGATGTCTATTTAACGTGTTATTTCTTTGTATTTCAATTTTAATAAATAATATAAGTAGTCCTTCCTTAATTCGTCCTAGTGATCGGTGGACAAATTTCCTGTTGAATTTCAGCTAAAGTCAATTCGAGCCAAAAGCAAAACATAAAAATGTAAGTCGATTCAATACTAACCATCTAAGGTTACATGTTCGCTACCTTCGCTACCATCTCTTGATAAACGGCAACCGCCACTGGGGCAGGAGAAAAGATAGTCCAGCCCAGTATACACATTGTGTACTTCAACCTGCAAAAGAAAAATAGCAACAACATCAACATATAAATTATAAGATCATGAATCCATACCAAAGTAAACAGTGATGGGCATACTGACAAATTCGTAGTTTATATAATGTAGCTTCTGACCGAACTTTTTGTAACCATTTTGTCCAAAGCAACTTGAAGATGGATTTCACTTTGTTATATGGAATGCACTAAATATGATATTTTACACAATAAGCTATTTACATTTCTCGAATCAAGGACAACAGATTCAAGAGTCTCGATGCTAGAGACAGATTTGAATATATGTTTACATGCAATGATTCCCATAATGCAAAAATTGGTAAATATATAAAAGACTGCTTTGTTATTAGAATTAAAAAATACAGAAACTCGTGATTGGCCCCACTCGATTGTAACACTATTAGTACTTGTGCTAGTCCTTGTTGTTTGAGTAATTAGAATACTAGTTTATTAGGTTTTATTCTACATTAAGTTTTTTCAATGCATTTCGTTTTTTTGTACTTTGCCATACATTGTACCATGCGCAATTAAGTTCTTCGATATTTGCTTACCGAGTCTAGGATCATCAAGTCGCTTCCAGAAGTTGTAAGTTGAATCCGCCTTGGATCACCAAAATTGGAGGCGGAAAAGGTTCGGCTGTACTCGGTCCTTTGATGTTTTGCATGTGAGAAAAAAAATCAAATTTTGATATGAATATATGAACTCCAGACAAGCTTTCTATTATGAAGGTTGAACAAAGGACTAAACACACAGAGTATGGCATGGCGAATGCTTAACCCATTATTCTAATTTCTTCACATTTTCTTCTTTTCCTTTGGAATTGATTTTGGCATTTCACGACACAAGTATCATTTTCCCCCAATTTCGTCTGCAATGTACGGCTTATATTTGCTCATTTTACAGCTGCTTTGAATGATTTACAGTATGGTCAGAAACTGCAGTTGTTTTTGGCAATATGGCCTTACCTACCCGGAATCTGTAAGTCCGGATACAGTCGTTGTCGCGCAGACATCATCACAAGCGTCAGAAAAGATTTCAACTGTCAGCTGATCAGGACTGCCAGCATTTACAGAAGAAGTGCTGGTCCAGAGCGTTAAACTGTGTTCCACTGTTGGACAACACAACATAAAGTAACTGTCATCTGGCGCGGGACACCTCCTAAGGCGACCACCTTTCTCGATCCCTTGAAATTTCCCCATAGACACATGCCTTAAATCTTGATAGTTAGGCTATGATACACTGTTGGACAAAACAACACACAGATCTGTCGCGGTGACCACCTTTCAGCCTCGATCTCTTGAAATTTCCCTATAGACACATGCATTAATGATGACCACCTGCGAATGACTGGCATCTTGAGTAATTACTTCTCCATAGTAACTATATCTTTGTATTAATGATCTTCAACTGTATGACAGTAATAACTGTTACTGCTGATGCTGTCATGTGATGGAGGAACGAATTCTGACCAAGATTTCTCTTTAATATTCTCTTTCTAATAATGGAGAAATGTCCTTTTACACTTCAGAAAAAAATATTGCCTGTCGTAACTTATAAATACACTAAAGCCAATAAGAGCCAAAAGCGAAACATGAAATTACAAGTCGATTCAGTACTAACCATCAACATCTATGGCTACCTGCTCACTACCCTCGCTGGCATCAGTAGATAAATCGCAACCGCTGGTGGGACAGGAAAAACGGTAGTGTTGCCTAGTATATGCACTGTATACATCAACCTGGATAGAAAAATATAAATACGATCAACATAAAAACATTGGGAATTAGTTCAAACTAAACAGAGATGATCCGGGTCCATCGCCCTTCTCTCAATCTCGACGGGGGTCGACATCGTCTACCAGATACCTTTGACCTAGTGTTGACGTCGCTCTTCAAAGAAACCACGTGGCAAGTCTCAGTGGGTCACTGAGGAAGACCAGATTGACTGTTGGAAAGCTGTAGGTGAGAGAATTTCTTTGTGTTCGATCAATAGTTTTAACTTAAAACATGTAACTACCAACACAGATGAGTTTTTTATGATAGTACAGAGATGATTGTATTGACAAAGTCGCAATATTTTTTTTACATTTGCTTACCCAGTCTAGGATGAGCCAGTCGTTTCCTGAGGTTGTAAGTTGAACCCGCGTTGGATCACCAAAATTGGAAGCGTTGAAAATATGACTGTACTCGGTGCTTTGATGTTGGAAATGTAAAAAAAAATCAAACATTCATCATTCATCATTTGTAACTGTAATAGCGTACAGCAGAAGATGAAATGCACCTTGTAATTCATTGTAAACTGTATGAACCTGAATGTTACATACAAATTCCAAATGATAAACACAAGAAACTTCAAGATGGATTTAGATCAGCATACACGTGTCAATGAACTCAATGTAAATTTTTCTAATACTACGGTGAGAAAAAAAGCAGCAGTGTACGGACTACACGTATCAGATATTTCCTACTTGGTTTCTGTAAGTCCGGATACAGTAGTTGTCGCGCAGACACCATCACAATCGTCAGAAAAGATGTCAACTGCCAAAGAATCAGGACTGCCAGAATCGCCAGATGTAGAGGTCTTGAGCGTTAGGCTGTGATCCTCTGTTAGGTAAATAGAAGAACGTTATCGACACAACAACAGTGGATAGACTATTGGTAGATAACTAATCAAACGAATTAACCTGCGTATAACACTATAAATATCTTGTTCACATATACTTGTTTTTATGTCTAAACATGCCTTGACATATGTACCTATTTGAACAAAAATAATGTACCCAAAAAAATTGTAAAAATGAAGCATAAAAATGAAGCATAAAAATGCAAGACGATTCATGTACTAACCGTCGACGTCTAAGGTCACCTGTGGGCTACCCTCACCGGTATCAGTTGACAACTGGCAACCGTTACTGGGACAGGTAAACCTGTAGTGCTTCTCAGTATACACATTGTATACTTCAACCTGCAAAGAAAAATTGCAATAACATTATTTTAAAGGTGCACAATTCAGTTTTTTAAAGGCTTGAAAACTAGATTTTTCAAAGTCAATATTCCAGTCACTTACACTAAGTTGGAACAACACTATCCCAATGTATATCGACATTCATGGAGCAAAGATGCCAAAAATTGTGACTGAAAATGGTTACAGGTAGGATCCTGGGCAGATTTTGAGGGTACCTCTCAGGACCCATATTCGGCCTTAAGCTTGTTTCTGCACTGTTTTATAAAATGATCAAAAGTATGAAAATGTGCTAATGTGTCAATATCATACAGATTATTCTGGTCTTAATTTACCACCCTAAAGTTGCATTGGGATCTTTACCAAAAATCAGTAAGAATTGCGTATATTTAGTTCAAAACTAAACGGAGATAAGTGTGCTAAAATTAGTAGTGTATAAATCATATATTTAGTTTACCCAGTCTAGTTGGAGCCAGTTGCTTCCTGAAGTTGTAATT